AAATTTCTTTAGCGATAGTGGCATCAATTGGCGGTGATACTAAGAACTTATCCATCCGTGATGTAAAATCTTTACGCGAAGTTTAAATATTATTTCGAATGCATTCGGTCAAAAGGCTTGAAATTTTCACTCAATTATTTAAAATACTATTTGCAAGCAACTATATTCAAATCCATTAAAAAAATCTCTAGTCCTTACCAAATTCTCATATGTTATGGAATTTTTTTTAACTTTGCCATATTCACTTTCACAGCCATTCCAGCTGGCAGACTGATAACAATTTCCACAAAATGTCACTTTCGCTTTATAAACTGCCTTCTATAGCTACCTTCTAGTGCTCCAGCATGCTCGCAAATATTATTTTTTATTTTCGGCTGTAAATAACTAAGCCAGCTATTCGTGCCCATGCACCATTATTGTAGGCACTGCTTCACACGCCGCCATCCATTATACACATAGCTACTTATATAGGGGCAAATACTTCTGAGTGTGCACACGAAAAATACAGTTAAGTATATAAACTTATTATTTATGCATTTTCCGAGCAAAGAGCATTTAAAGGCGTCATAAATCTTCGTGAAAGCACAGTACACAACTGGTTCGTGTGGTTGTTGTAGATGTTGTAGTGCAGTGGATGCATCGAGACTAAAAGTAACTAGGCTATATGTGAGCACTCGGAAATGCCAACTTAAATGCCGCAAGTTGTTTACACTTGCCTTGTAGGCGCAAATAAAGAGAGAGAGAGATAGGGTTGTCCAAGGGAGACGAGTTTTAGTATTACTATAAACACTGTTGCACGAGTATCTAACAGTATGTAGGCATTCAAAGCATGTAAAAAATCATACTGTAGCGTGTGAAAAGCGGTAAGCAAAATAAATTTAAAAATCATATAGGCTTTGAACTTTTGAGCAATACCTTTTTGTATGTCCAAGAGAACGACTAACTATTTTTAGTAGATTATATATTCATTGCTTATATCTTTCTTTAATTTTCAGTGCTGCAAAGTGTTCGGTAGACCTCATCCTTACTACTAAAATATAAAAAATGTGCCGAGATTATCGAGTATTCGCCAATGCATCACTCTTCCTTTAACTATTATCTACTCCAGCGATATATCTCGTATTATATTGTTATATTAAATTTTAATTTTGTTACTGCAAGAACATTAATCGAATGCAACTAGAATAAAATCCAATTAGAGGCTTCGAAAGTTCCAAACGCAGCACTGCTTCCAAAATTATTCACGACCATAAAAACTTCAACAACAAACAACAAACTAGGGAAAGTTTGCACTTTTAACTAAGCTAAAGATCACTTTATTAAGAAATAGGCAATTTTTGTGAATTAAAAAAAAAATACTGTAACATTTTTGTTTTAGATTAAGTGTATATTTTTATATATTTTAAGAATACACAGTAACATTTTTGAAAACCAATAATTAAATATATAATATATCTTGTTAAACACGATATCCGACGGCGCTTAAAAATAGTGCTCCACTGCTGTAAGTATATCGGATGAAACCTATCAACCAAAACTCACTACTAAAAGATTTTGTCCATACAATGATCGTAAAAAAATTGTACAAGGGGACAAAATATTTAGGTGTTAATAAAAAAATAACTACATATCAAATCAATTCTAAATTCACCTTTTCCTTTGAACCTCGTATGCTCGAAAAAAATTAAAAATTAACAAAATGGCGGGGACTCCAAAAAAAATAGTAAGGTGGTCTGTAAAAATTCTATTTTTGATAAGATCAAAAAACTGGTAGGCCGTTGTATAGAAAATTTTACAAAAAACTTGCAGACGAAATTTATAAATATCGGCTTATTCGTCTCCGAGTAATCACTCAAGCAAATTTAAAAAAGTAGTTTTGAAAAATACTAGTTGAAATATAAAGTGATTGAATGACTACACCTTAGAAGGCTGAAACACAAAAACTATTTAAGGTATCGTTACAAAATTTTCGTATGTTATTTTCAAAGGTAGAATCTATTGAAATATGAAAAATTTAAATATACTTGTATGTAATAAATTTTGGCCAGTAGAACAGCCTTTACCTTCTTCGAAGCGAATTTTTATCAAAATTTTAAAAATCTATTTTTTTTCTTAATTTCACACTAGTTGTGTCACTTAAGGTACTTACTTAAACTTGATTTTTAAGAAAACTTTACAATTTTTTACTCACCCTTTATTTCAATTACTTTCTGCAAAAACCTTGCCAATCATGGCTTATTACTCTACAATTGGATATTCTTTAGTAGGCTTCAAATAAATGAAAATATATTACGATAACCAATATTAAAAATAGATATTTTTCTTTGCGTGCTCCACTTTTTATCAAAAGGCAACTAGTTTAAATCTAGTCAGAATTGCAACAATTTGTTGTATAGTTTTACATCATTATATATCACTTTGAGCAGCTGATATCACCAGTTATTCGCGACTCAATTAGCACAAAACTAGTTTCAATCGCATTAGTCACCTTTATTAAACGTAATTATTAAATATATTCAGCATGTGTATAATCAGTTCACCCTTAAGCAATAAGTTTTTATCTTAAATTGCTATATTATAACAATTTTCAACGCAAAAAAGTATAACTTTATTGCTAAACCTTTCTTGTAAGCTGTTCAAAGGGATGCAGCTCAAATTCCAGCCTCCTATATATTATACATCATATACCACATGTCTGCTCAATACAAATATTCTCCAGTTATACTAATCCGCTCTAATACAAACACTCATATGCATATATATATATATATATATGTATGTAAGTGCACTCCACTGCCAGTGTTAACTATGCGCCATGCTAAAGAATCGCTTAATTATTTATAATACGAAAAGTAACCCAACAGCAGCTACAACAAAAGCAAAATTGTTATACCATAAACACCAAATAACCACAGGAATAATTTTATGCAAGCCTTAATGGAAAGTAAATGAATATATGTATGGCATGTACCCAATTTAGCTAAATTTTCATGTGCATGTGTGCATGCTTGCATTTAGTCAACTTATTTGTGCCTGCTTTTAGGCGCTGTAAGTAGGCGTTTATCGCTTTAAGCGTGCGCGTAAGCATGGTTTATATATATGCGCATATATGTATATATTTAAGTATATATATATATATATATTTAAAGCATTTATGTGCCTATATTGCTCGCGTGTGTGTGTGTGTGTGTGAGTATATGCGCTTAATAATATTAAGCTTAGTCAATATTTATGAGCATTTGGCATGTTAATAACTACATATGTATTCTCGCACATATACAAGTATACTTATAAAAACATCTCATATATTCATGCATCCCTACATATATAATACCGATAGTGTGTTTTTATATATGTATGCTTCTGCGTTATTAGTGATATGAAATAATTTCACAATTTGTTGTTATGCATTTGTATGAGTTAACATTGTACATTTCCGCTTAAATTACTTAGTTTAATACAAATACATAGTATTATGGTTAAATGTATTCCTAATTGTGAAATTCGGTAGAATCGCCAAATGGCGTTTTGATTTTACTAAATTATGCTAACAATTAGTGTAAAGAGATCGAATATACAGTAATAACAAAATATTGCTGCTTTCTATTAATAGAAAGATTTGCTGTTCATTTCTATTGATCTTTCTAACCCAATCTAATCTAAATAATGAGGAAATGCAATTGAATAATTTATTTTGCTATAGGTTATATTAGGTTAAAGGTCTACACTGTTACGTGCGGCAATGCCGGTGCATTATTGTACCTAAACTTCACCTATATACAAGTATATATATATATAACTTTTCATAAACCCGATAAACGCATGTTAGAGTATTTGAAAACTTTTTCAAAGCATTGTAAATGTATTATAGATGATCTAGCAATCAAAGCATTTGTTAAATATAAATATAAATATAAATATAAATATCAATATTAATATTAATATAAATATAATTATAAATATAAATATATATATAAATATAAATATTTAGTAATACACCATTAGTAATAGCTGTCATCGATTCGCCAAGCATTGGAGAGTAGCGAAACGAACAAGCTATACTAGCTGTTCAAACAAACGGGCAGCACTTGTGGCAGAACCTTGCGCTAGCATATCCTCTAACGTATGCGCAAATGTTTTCTACTTTGATGGAGAGAGTATTTTTCTCGTTTAAAAACAGTTTAGTAACCACTTGGTTTTGATTTCTATAAACTATTATAAATGATTTTAAGTTATATGTTTATGAAAACAAAGAAAAAACGAAATTTGTTTGTGCTCGATAACTTTGTTGTTCCTTTAAATATAACTTTTTTTTGACAAAAAGAGAACAGCGTACAAAGTTAGCGAGCAGAGAAATGGCGTATCGAAGGCGCCTAATATTAATGTTGATTTATATTGCTAATTAAGGTATATCGTACTATTTCAAATAATACTTCAACTGATGAAAGCAGTCTGTGGCAAACAGACTTAAACAATTTGGTGGCTTGATGTGATCGAACTGATTTGCTATAGAATCTCAAAAAATGTAAGACGATGTGCTTTACCCGTAGATCTGTACACCCCTCTAGCTATGTTATAAAAAACTATAGACTACAACAAGCTTTTAATTTTGTTGATTTGGGAGTAACTATGGAGCCTAAGCTGAATTTTAGTTTTCATATTGATAGCTCGGTTTTAAAAGCACAAGTTGTTTTTAGTTTTGTTAAACGCTGATCCAAAGAATTTAGATAGCCGTATGTTACTAAAACTCTTTTTACAACATTGCTTAGGCTCACATTGGAATATGGCTCTGTGGTAGGAAACCCTAGTTACCAAATCCATGCAGATCTGAAAGCAAAACTTTATTATTCCACTCTATAACAACTTATTTTTGTTTATAGGCAAGAAATTATCTAACTCATCTTTTAAAACATAAGACGAACTTTTTTTTTCGAGTGCTAAATTTGTAAAGCATATATTAAAGTTAAAATATAAAAATATATATTTTTGTATAATTCCAGGGTTTCTCTATCCTTTATTGCTTTGTTATAAAAGCGGAGAGCAGTTTACGCGCGCCGCCAAGCAGCAGCGGCACGTTAAAGAAGAAGCTCAGCTCGAGTAAGACTAGTTTGGATGACAACTATTGTACGGGCACCATAAATAGTCCGCTCAGTTGTAAGTATCAAGTGTATTATAGTAAAATATATAATATAATAGCTAAAGAAAAAAATATAAATTCAACGAAAATCGTGGACTTCCCATATTTAGTTAAATGTAGAGCCCATTATTAAATATAAATTCCGTATTTAACTAAAACAACAGTATTTCAAATAAAAAACTATATATTTTCCACAAACAAAACCGCTATAATATATTTTATAACACGCGCTGCATAAACTAACACAATTCATTATTTTCCTGCCCAACCAGTTTACGCGAGCCATGAAAAGGAGAAGGAGAATGAAAGCGGCGCGCCGGTAACAACACTACTAGCAGCGCCCCCACCACCACCGCAACAGCTTGAAATCTCCAGTGGCGTGCAACTGCCACTCACAATTATACCCACCGCGCAACAGCGTTGCCCACTGCTGCCCACAGCCTCCGCGTCTACAGTGAGCAGCAGCGTCAAAACGTTCCTGAATGCAGCCAGTCTGGAGCGCAAGCTGCCGCCACATGTCAGCTGCCTGCAAGAGACGGCCGCCGCGGCGATGACCTCGCCAGCAACGAGATGCTGCAACATACTAGGCGGCAGCAGTAGCAGCAATGCGGCTGCCACAGTAACATCGACCGGTGTAGTGGGCGGTGGCGTTGTGGTCACCACCGGCGGCATGGGCTATTATGACGCCTACGGTGCGGGCATACAACTCGGCGGCATGACGGGCAGTTTGAACAGGCGACAACTGCACGTCGCAGCAGCAGCTACGGAATTTGTCGGTCTGGAGACTTTGGATATACTGCAGGGCGTGGCGCCACCAGGTACGTGTGTGTGTGTGTGTGTGTGGAGAAGAGATTTTCAAATTTATTTTAGCAACAAAACTTGTTACTGTATGCTTATCCCAGATTAGTTTCTTACATTATTAAGCAATAAAATATGTAAGCAACGTCTTATTGCTAAGCTTCGTAATAGTCGGAGGGAAGGGAATAGTTTTGGTTAGTGTAGCGACTCGGTTGAATTCTAATAGTTGACCAGTAGGAAAAGCGTACAGTACAATAAATTACTTTCTTAATAGATGGGCCAAAAAATTAATCAATCGTACGACTATAGCATTTAGCTGCCATACAAACTGTACGTACAAAATCAAGTGCTTGTTTGAAAAGCTTTTTTATTTGACGAGATAAATTCACAAAACTTGACTTGGATTATTGTCTAAAGCAGCGATTCATGCTCTGAATATATTGTTCAGATGGGCTCACTATAGATAGTATATCTATTCATAACCTTTTATGCTGTAAGAGATGTGCCCGTGAAGAGCAGTATGGCTTCGGCGCAACCGAAGTTAAAGTTTTTTCTTGTTTTATTTTATTAGAGTATTATTTCTTTTTATTGGCTATAAATATTGTTTCTCCTCCAGCGAGAGTTGTTTAGAAATTTTCCCCTAATACTGATTATTTAGGGGTATAAATACACCGGCTCAGCCTCAAAATACTATTTGTAGTAAATATTTACATATGTATGTAAGTTTATATATGTAAATCTGTGTCTCATGTCTCTTGAACAAACAGCAATTCACATATCTCCTTAAAATTGCAAATCCCTTAATTCCCTTTAAGCATAGCTGCTAATGTTCAACTTAAATATTCGCAACAAAGTACAAAATAAAGCCAAAAAATTATTGCAAAAATCTTTTATGTCAACAACAACAAATATATTAGCAATAATAATAACTATACAAACTAACAACCGAAAAAAGGACGAAGTGGAAAAAGCCTCCGAAGGAAGCAAAAGCAAAGCCAGCCACATGTTCGATCTAAGCACATCAAGTGGCTACTAGTTAGTGATGAAGACCGACAAAAACGTTGAACAAGCGCCACACAGCAGCAATTTGGCCGTCTCCAAGCAACATCAAATTTACCGAAACCACTACACAGAATAACGTACACCTTTCATTAGCTGCCTACAACCTTTATAGCATTCAACGTTCAGCTTCTTGTGGCCATATACTTGTAGGTGAAGAATAGTGAGAATTGAGCTTTTTTCGCCTACACATACATATGTGCTATTATGTAGAGACCTATGTATTTACTAGAACTACTATTCACTAAATACTATGGGTTATTCCCTGTTTAATATTCAACAAAAAAAGTTGAAAAAATAGAAAAAAAAACTATTTTGCCAAAATTCAAAAATTCATATCTTTGAAACGAAAACGAACTCCCCTCTGAAAATTTCAGAGAATCGTTTCGTTAGAAACATTAGTGGTATAATATCAAAAAATTTCAGACCAAAATTTTCCCGCGATTGTTACTTTTTACGATTTTGAATTTTTACTGTTATATACTTAGTTTAAGGCCATAAATCGACTGTTAGTCTAAATTAAAAAAAAAAAAAACCTGCTAATTTTGCAGCAAGTCATATAGATATTTTTGTAATCTCTTTATTTATAAATGCTTAGTTGAACGATAAAATATCGAAATAAATAAAGGAAATTTAAGTTGAGCAACAAAAAATTTGGAGATTAAATAAAACTGTCATATTATATGCTGAAACTACTTGAAAAATTCTTGTTTTAATTTTACGAACATTTATTTTAAATTACGATTTTTTAAGTAATAATCAAATAAGCCAAAAAAGTATTCAAATAAAACCTGGCTTAATGCGCTGATTGGCTGTGTGTCTAAAGCATTTCTGCCAAACGGATATGATACCGCTGCCATCAGGCTTTATTCATGCACGTAAATTGCTGTACTGCACTTCCCATAAGAAAATGTTGCATACTCTTTCGGCGCCGCAAAACAAACTATATTCCGACGCCTGCTATTCATCATGTGCGCCTGGTGCATTTTGTTCCATCTAACATGAAATTTGAGCGGACGATGTCGGCAAACGAGTTCAATGCACTTCCGTTACTTTTATGTTGCATACCTCCCAGGCGCCGGATGACAAAAGTGCAACTCAGTGCCGACAACTGCTGGCTTGCATGCGCGCCTGGTGCATTGGTGGCAAAATGCTAAGAAAATTGTGCCACCCACCCCACCAATTTGTATACTAAATGTCGGTATAGTAGTTTAACTCACTTCCTACGATTATGCGTTGCATAGCCCACAGGCGCCGGCTGACACCTGTCCACCATGCTAGCCTGTTGCGCTTGGCGCAATTTATGGTTGATATAGCAGTGTGTACACTTGTCGAATAATTTTGTTGCATACCTTGCGGTGCCGGAAGTTAAAAGTGCAATTCGGCGCAGCCATCTTCTGCTGCATTTTGGGCGCCTGGTGCATTGGGAGCAATTTTAGCCGTTGAAAATGCAGGATGACGATGTGGACAAAAACACACACACATTATATATACATGCGTACACAGAGCATTCGCTCTGAAAAGACATATTTTATTCGTATATATCCCCAAAAAATAAAAAATATTCATTTAAATTAACAAATTCTTCATTCCGATTTAAATGTTTTTTGAAACTTTATTAAAATTTATTTATTTTTCACTAAATAATTCTTTTTGTTTAATTTTTAACATGCTGTATTTTTAACACTACTTAACATATCTTATTTAAATAGAAATTTATATAATATATATTTTTACCTATTTTTATTTAATTTTTTGTTTTTTTCCTTTTTTTTATTATTTTATTATTATTATTTTTATTTTTTTATTATTTTATATTTTTTTGTTTTTTTTATTATTTTATTGTTTTTTGTTTTTGGTTTTTTTTTATTTTATTATTTTTTTTTGTTTTTTTTTCATTATTTTATTATTTTTGCTTTTGCTTTTCATATATTAGTTAAAACTTTTTAATAATTAATTTTTAATCTTTCAACAATTATAAAAAGTACATCTACATACAATATCAAAATATTTTCACGACATACATACATATACATATATACAATATATATATCCATTTATTAAACAACTCTACTACAATTATTTGTATGTATATTTGCTACTTCCAGACACAATTATTGGCATATGTGGCAGCGCGCTCCCCGCAGGAATGTCATACCATCAACTGCAGCAGCATCACAGCCTGCCGCGCCACCACACCACAGCACTGCAGCAACACCTCACAGCAAACGCAACTGGTCAGCAACATGTTGCGCAACATCACAAGCCCTACATGGACGCCACAATGTTGCCACCGCCAACAATCGTATCGATAAGCAGCGGTCTGCCGCTACCCACTACCATGAATTATGCGAAAAGCAGCGGTGAGTCAGCCAACTCACCACAACAACAACCACAAGCGCCACCAACCACACTAACCAGCATCATCAGTACAACAACGGCAACAACGCAAACACCAAAAGCGCAAAAGCGGGTCACCATTATGGAACCCACAACGCACACTTTCGATCCACTGCTGCCCACAATGGTGGCCGTTTCCGGTGTGGCAACGCCTGCGGCACATCATCGCCTGGTGACAGCAACACCAACGCCCATTATAACAATTACCAGCAACACAACGGCGGCGACAGGCGATTGCGTGGCCAGCGCAGGCAACATAAGTGGAAGCGATTCGACGCAGAGCGCTGGTGTCGACGCAGCAGCAACAGCAGCGGAAAGCAGCTCGTCACCCGAAGATGAGAACTCGATGACCGGCATGTTGGATCGCATAACGCATGATCTGGATTATCTGCTGAATCGCACGAATGATGCGCCACCAGAGTCGCCGTTGGGAGATGCTGAAGTGTTGGCGGTGGGCACGGCAGCCACGTCAGTGGCGACGAGCGCCACCACAGCAGTAGCTTCCACGCTGACCATCAGCCAGGATACTGTGGAGCAGTTGTAAGGAAGCTAAGATATGTGGGTAGATAAACTGAAAGATTTTTAGAACTACTTTTGGATTATTTAGTGAAGTAAATACTATTTTTAAGTGTGTTTAGTTGTCACTAAGCATTTTGTTCCTGTCACTTTTTTGACTATTTACTGTACAGTAGCTCTTAATGCTTAGTAATGTAATCTGAAAGATATTATGTAAGCATTAATATTAATGGTTGTCTTTGTAAATAAAAAAAAAACTATTTAGAATCTTAAGATTTACAACTTTTTTATATAGCTATCCAAATACTAAATAAAAATGGCTCTAAAGAGAGCTTTCGAATTTATTGCATAAAAAAATAGGCAAATGGTATAATTTTAGATTAGTTGATGTGTATATTATAAAAAATAGTTAAAAAGTTATTGAAGTAAGTAATCTATATAATTATAGTTATTTAAAAAAATTAAAATTTTTTCGAAGCATTTACGCAACTTTTCAAGGCAGCTACAACTACAAATTATATCAAATTAAATTTAATTTGATTATATTTTGCTCTCAAATTTTCGAGTTGAAATCTGTTAAATTATGTCGAATGGGGACTATTTTGTAGGCGACTACATTAATGTATGCGAATGTATACAAATTTTTTTCAAAAACGAAAATTATCGTTATTTTTCGATTATACATACGTATGCTGTTACTAAACAATAGTCGGGTGGGTCGAAACTCGGAGGAAAGGTTGAAGAGGAATTTTTTGTGAATAGCTCTACCTCAAGCATAGCTGTAGACTACCAGATTACTGTAACGATTTTCAAGCAGAGGTGGCTGCCACTAGTGTAGTGATAAATATATTGTTCCGAAGTACTGCCTCTTTCAGGGCGGTGAGGATTCTCTCCGACAGCTGAGAGGCAATACTAGCTTTGAGCTCGCTCACGGTTTGCTCAGAGTTAGTTAAGAAGTGGGTGACCTCACTATCGATAGCATCAAGCTACTTTATTATCAGACTTGGCTGGATACCTGGTCACACCGAGAGCGCTGGAAACTGCAGAGCCGAGAAAGGGTACCCTGTTCCTGATAACATCGGATTGTGAACAAGTTCTTCTTGCTGTTCAACAACAAGAGCTTCTGTTCGACTGCGAAATACTTTTGGCCTAGTGCGGAACACAGGAGATCCACTGAAGTCGTTGCTAACAGTAAGGTAAGGCTAAAAATTTTATCGGACACTAACTGTCAAAGTATTTAGTATTGAACTAGGTGAGGTAGAAACAACTAGGCACTCTCTTTTGTCCATATTTTGCAAGACTGAGGTTCAGCTGTCAAATTTTTCGGTGAACCCGAAAGAGCCTAAATTGATTTTGTCCACCTCAACAAATGTGTAGCAGGCACAAATTGCCACTGTGTCGATTTTTGAGAGTATTTTCGATTAATACTTAGTAGTATTTATATATGTCAATGGACCGACGGCCTTTTAACCTAACCTAAACAATAGTCGTATGGAACCCGTATAGTACCTGCAAACAGGTATTCTGATGACACGTCTACTGATCAAGACTCGCCACTTAGAGTTGTAAGTCTAACCTATATCTTAAATTATCCAGTTAGATGCATGATTCAAGACCACGCTCTCAAACTTTCGAGTTGAAATCTGTTAAATTACGAAAGTTATCGGCTGTTTGGTGGAGCGATGTCAAGCGCGCTGGCCCGCCATGTCCTGACACAAACGCGTTTTCCTCAAAACCACGTTTTTGGAGTTTGTGGAAGTCTGACATGGCGCGAAAATGGTGCAATCGCACTGAAATTTCTTACACATGTTCATCAGAAGTTTGTGCATCCGTGGTACTGGAATTTGCCGAAAATATTGAAAATTATTCATTTAAAAAAATAATTAATAACAAAAAAGGGGCCAAAAATTGATTTTTTCTCTTTCTAATAGCCGTGCATCCTCTTGCTTAAAATGAATGAAATCAGAGCAATATTTCCACTTGTTCAATATCAAGTTTCACCAACACCTGAAGGTATTTGCCCGGCTTTGATCCTTGCAATTTTAGTCGATTTTGGCTCATTTGTCTCAGAGAAATCACTTACGCAAATATGAAAAATGTAGTTTCGAGAAAATGTCTTTCGAGATAAACTGATGGAGCTGATTGAACTTAAGGCGGTTACTTAAAAAATATTTGAGGCAGCTATTTAAAATTTTAGTATGTTATTTTTAAAGGTATAGCCTTTAGTTAAAGATAGTTCTTCTTTAAATTTAACACTAGGTGTGGCGCACTAAATCGGAGCAAACGGCTAATGACTTACGAGTATTTTAAATGGTTATCTGCTAAATCAAATTAGCTATTTAGTTGTAATGAATTTGCAAATTTTAATTCAATAATTTAATTTGATTTCATATTGCTTCAGGTTATAGATTTTCAAAAAGTTTGTTTAAAAAACTGTATATTATAAACTAAATGTATATGATGTATTTTTCAAATGAAATTGTGTACTCACAATCAAAAACACAAAATCAAACAGGCCAACTATTGCCGGCGAGAAATTTATAAGAGCAAAAGTCATAAAAATATGTGATAAAATTGATAGAAAAAAGTGTAAAATCTGCTTAAATTAAATAATCAAATAATAAGTGACACTTAGGAATTACATATACACTTACATTAATATAACAAAAAAAAAATAAATTTGCAAAATGAAAAAAAATTGGTAGAAAATATGTATGTATATATTATATATATAAAATAATATAAATAATGCTGTCACTAAATATTTATAAGTAAATAATGGCTAAAAACGAATTACTAAAAACTTTCGAAAACAAAAACATAAACAAAAAAACAGTAAACCAGCGTAGGTTAAGTTGAAAATTCAAAATTAGTGGAGTTGGCTACCTGTTAGGCTTAACTACACGCACTCTGTACATAACTTGCCACACTAACATTGTAAATATGTATTTTTGCGTCATACAACAACAGCAAAGAATTTATTAAGAGTTTTGCAAAATCCGTAATCTATGCATTTTACACTCAACTAAGATTAGTGACTAACTTCTAGCGATAATTTTTCAAAAGATAACAAGTCAAGAAAGGGTTAAGAAAATAAGAGAATAGTGAAAAATGTATAGTGAAGCAAAATCGTAGCATTTGAGCTCTGCATTTAATGTAATTCTTACAATTTAGTGATACACTTTCGTATAAAAACCAAAACAACAACAACAAACAAGCAAACAAGTAGAATGTAGCTAGTTTAACAATTTGTAAATAATCATTAAAATAATTAAGAAAAAAATGCAATAAAAACAATTAAAAGATGAAAACTATTATAGTAATTAGTAAATATTGAGTCATTGCATTGAAAATTAGCGTACATACAAACATACATATGTATTTGTTATATTTAAACGTTTGATTAGTAATTGTTATGATTCGACGAATTTCATTCATTTCACAACGGCAGAAACTTCTGGCATAAAGGAAGCAACCGCATGTGTATGAGTAATAGAAAAATCAATAGTAATAATAACTGTACTTTTTTCATAGAACCTAAAATTTAAAGCAAAAAAAGAATAAATAAGACAAAAGAGCTGAACCAAATACAAAAAAAAAACTTGTAATAACAAATGGGAAGGAAAATCAAAAATTGCGAGCTAAAATCGAAGAAGAAATCATTTCAATTTGATGGACGCCAAAGTGTTAAGTGCATTTTCAAATTACAACGCAATTCAAAACTGTACTTACATATAATAAACACTGACTTTTTTAAAACAAAAAAAAAATTTCCAAACAAGCAATTGTTTCCGATCGTATATGCTATAGTGCTCCGATAGCAATGGTTCCGACATATGAGCAGCTTATTGGTGAGAAAAGATCGTGTGCGAAATTTCAGCAAGATATCTCAAAAACTGAGAGACTAAGTTCGCGCATATACAGACAGACCGACATGACTAAACCAACTCAACTCATCACGCTGATCATTTACAAAATTTGTGGCAAACTTATTTTACCCTGTTCACAGTATACAATTTATTTGTAAGTATAATCATATACTATATGAAAAAAAAATGTACTTGACTTACGTTATTCTAAAAGAAAACGGCGTGAAAATCACTAATTGAGCTAATTACAATAGAAATTTCCTTGGGTTCAGCAGACCAGAGATAGAACCATAGTCGAAAGGAATTTAATCTACATATTCTCCACTTCTTGATCTTCTTTTTTTAAGAACATAACCTCATACTGTTGGTTGGAGAAATCATTGTTTAAAAAGTTAGCTAAAGATCAGTTCATATAAATATGCACACAATCTCATAACTGTTTGTTTCCGACCCACATTCTTATACATATATTATTTATAATATACAACCTTATTATGTATGACTACTATCGCGAGTCCAGTAGTCGATAGCCAACCTTGCACCTAAGTTTTGAACAATATTGCCAATTTCTTGCAACAGTCCTGCTCAAAAAATGGAAAAACATAGGCGCTGCCTGCATTTTCAAGTATACTGAGATCAGTGGCCATACGTAATACAAAAGCTGTTATGGTAGCCAGCCAGATTCACCAATTGTCTTACATAATATGAATGATAATTTATTTTAGTTATAAATTATTCGTAGAAATCTCTAATCACTGATGCAATGAGTTACCGATCTAACTTTCTGTTTGCCAAGCTTCTTAACAATAGCTTTTAACAGCAAATATCTCAAAACTTTTTTAATAATTTAAATTACTAAATACTGCCTCTATAGTAGTGGACTCCTTGTACTCTTAATGTAAGAACATACACTACTATTTCATACAGATTTAGATTAGAAGTACCTAACACACAAAGCGAGACCAAATGAGATTTACTTCACTTTAAGATCAAGAACTCTGATACACCTCAGTCCAAGTGAAGACAATTTGATATAAATCCGTCGTTTTCAAACTTAATTTGACCTACGACCAAAATATTAGTTCAGTTCACGAGAACGAGTTCTTATGAACCACGCGATTATTTCTAGGCAGTGGAAAATTTTATGAGCAACGGCATCGGTTTGTAGAGAAGTAGGAGGAGCCGTTTCGAAGCCTACTAGTCGAACTTATTTGTATAAATTCTAAAACAAAAATTGTCTACGAAGTCTGGGAAACCCTTTTTATATACTTCATGAACCCATTGAGAATTGCCTATATGCCTATTCAATTTCAATTCTTTTTGTAACCAAATAGCACTTTTCACTTTGAAAACATACAACACAGCTCCAGGTAATGCGACCAACCCCATGGTAAACATTTGTAAAACTAAAAATTTAATAATTTATAAATTAAGAAGAAGAAAAATAACTAAAACTAAAATTGTAAAATCTAAACTCTAAACATTAAATAAACATTTTCGAGACTCTTTGTTATAAAAAATCAAAAATATTACAAAAAAAAAATGTAGTTTTATTTAACATATTTTATTGATAACGGCTTGAGAATTCCTGGTTATTTAATCATTCAGCGCACTTAGCTATAATCTCTAGCCTTGCTTACTTGCGTAACTGTATAATTTTATGAGCATTCTAAAGCAACAAACACTATATAAAGCGAAAGCGAAACATACATTTACAAATATTTACATAGAAAACTTCACGTAAGTATTACTTTAAACTTAAGTTAAAAATAGTATATGCTTTGGACTAGCAAAAAAGAAAACCGCTCAAAATTTTGTGATATGGCCCACAAAATAGGTGGCTTCTCGACTTCGTATGGCGAAGTAGAAGGGATGATCGGCACGAAAGAATTTCTTGCGGGAATCAATCGAATTACTAATCACAATTGGTTTGTATGCTGAAAGGAGAGAAAATAACTGCGGTTAAAGTTAACGGCAGAAACGAGATGAAATTGAATGAAATGAGCTTGTGATTTAAAATGGAAATGGATGAAATAATGAAGCGAATGATGTTTTTTTTTCTGAGTGATTTGAAATTTTGGGTTGATATTGTCAATAATTTTTGAAAAAAAGGGTTTTGCTCAAAACATGCAATTGGAATACGAGTACGAATAATTATTTTTCTAAGTTTTGAGACCAAACCGGGTGGGCCTATGTTCACAAAGGCACTACCACCAATTTTATATTTCTAAAGTGATTTATGCCAGCAATATTTAAGGTTTTAAGTATGCCTAACATGTGATACAAATCCGATTCCAAAATGCTTATTCATCGAAATCAAACCTCCTTGAAGCAAGGCTACTGACCTGGATCCAAAAATGGTAATTTCGACGGCACTCGATTTTATACGCTATATGCTTCGGATGCGGTTTCCTTCGCAATATTCACATAACTGTCAACGTTCAATATATACAATATATCCCGTTAAAACATAAGAGACAAAACACCACTTGAAAAAGTTTACGAGATGAGTTTAGAAAATTTTTTCGCTGGTTTGGAGAGTGCATGCCCCTGATACGATAAAATTTTCAGCTGTATTCATTACCTACTTTGTCTGTAGCAGGTAAGGAAGGTTCACGTATTTTTATGAGCTTGCTAAAAGAACTAAAGACTATCCTATGTCGAATGGGGACTATTTTGTAGGTGACAACATAAATGTAGACGAATTTATAAAAATTTTTTTCAAAAATTAAAATTCCCGTTATTTTTGGATTATACATACGTATGCTGCTATTAAACAATAGTAGGGTGGGTCGAAACTCAGAGGAAAGGTTGAAGCGCGCTGGAAACTGCAAGGCCGATAAGGTCGCAAGAGAGGGTACCCTGGTCCTGATTACATCGGATTATGAACAAGTTGGTTCTCTCAAAATTTTGATCAAGACTCAACCTTTAGATATTTAGGAGATGTTTCATAGACAATAGACTTGTAAGTCTAACCTAAGTATTAACTTCCTCTCACTGCTTTCGGTCCTCCAACCTTTATATTAGATCCAACAGATCGAGCTCACAGATAAGGAACAGCGTGAAAACACTATTTGACCAAATGTGAGACTGATATTAGTTAATATAATACTATGAAGCTTTCTACAAATCCATAGGGCTTATGGGGCATAATTATGAAAAAATACAACCTCGAAACAAAGAAATATGTATATATGTATAAGTATGAAAATAATGATATTTGCATAATTTTTGTACTCACCAACACTACTTGCACCTTCCGTGCCGGACTCATTGACCTCTAAGCAGACTTTGTGTAGAATATCTGAAATTATTAGTGGTTCTGTGGTGTTGTTCCGCAGCATATTCTTAAAATTTGACGCTTTCGAGAAAATCGTCGTGATGCCCAGCTGAACGATGTTATATAGAAAAGTTTCAATTAGTTTATGACATCAACTAGTACATGCGCGAATACAAAGGGCTCACCTGTTCCAAAGTATGCCGCAGGCTGCATTCAAAATCGATTTTAAATTTCGGCAGAAGCACCTGTACGCTCTCCATCTGCATGCGCTCCGCCAACGCATTGAGATCCAACGCTTCTAACTGCTTTTCCAATGCCGCCAGGCCATCGCGCTGATTGGGCAATACCAGCAGCATAGCTAGCTCGTCGTCATGCTCATAAGGCAGCTCAATGGCACGCGCGTCCAACTCACGCAACTCTGCAAACTTTACGAACATATCATCGTCGAAGAGCATTGGCACAGACACAGCTGCTGGTGGCGCCAGCTGTGACACATCACTCCCTGCAGGCGCCTCAGCGACGCTTAACTGAAAGTCGTACAAGCCCGTCCGATAGGAGCTAAACGGCAGAAACCATTTGCTTTGGAAATGCACAGCTGCCAACACGATGGCCGTTGACGCCGCCTCAGGCGTTGTGATCGTGGACAATAAGGCATCGTTGATGCGCCAGGCATAGCCAGCGGCCGCCTTCGCCAAATCCTCATCAAGTTGCGCGCGCAATTTCGCAATACTGCTGAAATCTCGCTGCAATGCTGTTGTGTGGAAATATTTCTGCGCTATTTTACGAAATTCATCGCTGACTTCCACCTCCACCGGCAACAATAATTCACTGCATAGCTGCATGTGCGTGTCAGCCGCCGAGTCGGTGCTCAATTGCAGTTCCGTCGCGAAGTGGTTGGCCATTTTAGCATTGCTGGCGAAACGATTCAACTCTAGCACGCGCTGCAACTCCTCTGCAGTGCCGCCATCGCTGCCGAGATAGAGCAGCGTGAGCAGCGCCTCCAGCTGGAGTGGTGATATGATAATGTTGCCTGTACCGTGTGTGGTGACGATGACGCGCAACAGCTCGTTGCTGAAGTCCATTGCGACATTTGTGGCTCCATTGCCATTCGACGCTGTGCTGTTATTGCTCGCCATTTGGATTGCTCGCGCTTTTCTATTTTATTTTTTGCTTTTATTTTTATAGCGAGTACGTTTTTTGCTTTTGCTACGATTTGTATGAGTTGTGCGTGGGCGTGGTGGCGTTGGCGTTGGCGTTGTGCCGGAAAAGTCTCAATTGTTGCAGTTCAAGTAAGTGGTGGCGGTGGTGTGGTCGATGAACGGTGTCGCTGCCGTTGTGCGATTACAAAATTAGGCATCAAATTAGCAAGCAAACAAATTAAGCTGACCTGGTGCATAGATATATATAGTACAAATGTATGTATTATACATACATATTAAAGGTATCTTGTGTATGAGTAGCTTAGTGGCGCACGAGTGGGTTATGTTGTGTTGAAGAATTACAGCTGTTTATCAAACTGTCAACGCGCGCAAAGAAAACAAAAAAGTTGTCGTGTTGCTTTTCAATGCAAACATCAGTATTTCGCCATTACTCGCTGATGACTTTATCCGTTAGACTAACAGCTTTTGTAGACTAAGTATTTGTTTTTTTATCGTAATAACGATTAACGGTTTTAAAATAGCTCTTCGAACTAAAATTCTATTTAAGTTGTGTTGTAAAAATTTGGCAATATTTTTCTTTCAAAAACACCTACTTAATCAAAATCTTGTTATTTTTGAGTTTCAAAACGTTTAATAATACGCGCCGACGAAACTTTAATTTACCACAAGTATTTTTTCATAAAAAATGCAGTCTTCTGCTATATCTATTACGCCTTACAACGCCGCTGAGTTAAAATTTTGGCCACTCAACTTTAAAACAACTAAACTCTCGTTTGGAATTATAATTAATAAATGATAGCAGTTAAAGCAGTTTCCACCATAAATTAGTGACGATTTGATAGATAATTAAACAGTTTTAAACGAAAAATTTAGTTAACGCTTCCAAAAAAGCGAATGCACATTAAAATGAACATTGGTTGGAATTTTTTTATAGAAAGAAGAAAATTTTGGGGCCGATAGTGTTGTTAAAACTACACGAAAGTTAATATACGATAAAGATTCAACTTAAAATTTTGTGACAAGTTGACTTTATACTGATAATATCGAATAAAAAAATTTCAACTGAAGTAAACTTGAGTTGTGAGTTGTAATGGGGAGATTTTATCATAAAAAAACACCCAAAAGCGTTCCTAACCATAAACACATTTTTGGTGTAATGTAAATGTTGGGTTAAATTTAACAAATAACTGATAAAATTGTGCCAGAACTAATCTTAGATTGTCATATACATACAACCGTTTTTATATTCGTGTGCAAATCGATCTTCTTATGTCAATTAGTTTGTATTTGGTAGCAGTTGTTTACGAAAAGCAAATTTGGTCTGTCGATTTTTACCATGGGAAAAGTTTTGAAAAACGAGTTTGTTTGAATTTTTGTTTTTGTAATGGAATTACAAACGGAATCATTACAAATGTTGCTGAAGTACGTTGTGGCGTCTACTTTACCACGAATCCAATTATTTATGTGGCACAAAGCATTCAGTGACGGCCGTAAAGTCAACGAAAGGTTGCCGCAAGCGAGTCGTGCCCTACACCACTGTTAATGGCGATAACATCAAATCAAACTTTTTCAGAGAAACAGTGCTTGAAAATCGCCATGTCGTCATCAAAGAGATAACAGAGTATCTCAACATCTCTTAAGGATCGTTTCAACACATTTTAGTTAATGTTTTGGGTATGCAGCGTGTCAATGTTAGACTCGTAAAAGAAAGACTTGAAGCTTTGGCAAAAACGACGTCGAGTTAAGGTCGCGAAATAAATGCTTAACAACGTAGCTGAGAACCCTAAGATCATCATCGCATCAAGACTAATTTGATACTGGTTGGTATTTTCTAGATATTTCAAATAATCTATTCGCATCCAATCATAACTTGGTGGTTAACCAGAGTAGATCTGTCTGATAGTTTAGCGTTTAATTATATCATCATGTATAAATCCGCTCGCCCTTAAAAGTGTTTTCTGGTGAAAATATATTTATAAATCTAAGTCAGAAGGTAAATTAAGCAAAATAACTGCTTAAATTTAGGGTTATCCTAAACTAAGCTCTATCTCAACTTTCTTACTAACACTTAAGAAAAGTTTCGAGACAGCTTAATCTCCTAAAATTTGAGGCATTACAAGCAATATAAAACAAAAATTGATGTATGTGTATATAATCTACACCATATAAGTTTTTCACCCAAAAATCGCTAATCAGGAACTTCTAAACAACAACTACTCTTAGGTAGGCAGCGAAACGAAAACAAATAGTGCTCTAATAGTAGCTTAACTAAAACGCAAGGTGGATAAGAGAAATGATATTGATCAATGTACAGCTTTCTATAATTATCAAAAGACACGCGCACAACAACAACAAATGAAGATATTTTAGAAAAACATAGTTTTATTACAAAAACAAACGTATAAACGTAAGACGCACATTTCAGTGGTTTCCAAAGAATTCCACGCGCTTACCAACAATTTTGCTACTCCTAAATGTGTGTGGGTTTATAAATTCAAGCATTAATACATACCTATTTATATTTGTACAAAAACCACACAATTTTGATTGCACTTACTGAAATTCAGCAGCATTTAGTGAAAGCGAATAGTTTTCTTTTATATGCGATAAAAATGTTTGTAACGACAGTTGTGCTCATATTAATAGAGTATCGTTATGGCAGAGAGAATGGAAATGAATTCTAGGATGGGAATATGTAATTTATTTAAGTTCGTCATTTTACAGTAGCTCTTAGATTATGCACTAGACAGTAGTTTATGGCTGCTAAATAGCTGTAGGGGTTGTTCTCGCATAAACTCTAATTGATTGGAAAATCAAAATTTATTTATCTCAACATATGCGCTTGATCATAATAAATTTGAGAGTAATAAATTCAGAAAAAACACTTTGAAGAACTGTCGTTATTCGACAAAAGACGGTTCTTTGAAGCTTTAAGACACTGCACCATGCAGCTGACAGTTTTTATGAGAAATTTTTTCTCTGATATAACCTTGGCTGTCAGTTATTACATGTCAAAGTACAAAAAAAAAAAAAAACAAAACATAGCAACCTCACAATCACTAATTTTTAACGAGTTGCCGCGTTCTTTTGACACTCGCTAACAAAGAAAAAATTATGGTAATACCAAAAATATCAACTCTCCTAATATTGTCAATATACATACTACCAACTTTGTCATTATTTCGATTAATATGCACACAACTGTATATGCTTTCAAGTGCTGCTTCTTCTTACTTTTTAATAGCTTCAAGTGTATACAAAGACTAAATGCACAAATTCTTCTACGTGCTTGTGATTGTGTTGCTTTTGCAGAATAGAATTAATTTTGTATTTCCACAATATAATATTTTTGCACCGCCACAAAATAATATGCACAGCCACAGAGCTTTGTAGGAAGACAAGTAGGCATGTGCAAATATGTATGTTTGTAAATTATTTTTAAGCACAACAACTTTTTCGGCGGCAAATTAAAACTTAAAGGAAGCAAAGATTTACGTCAAACCGAAGACACTTCATTACCGAATTTACTTAATGCAACAAAATTATTATTTTTCTGCTTTATTTCTCGTTTAATTAAAGGCAAAACTAGTACAGTGTGAAAAACGAGCGCAACAACACTTAACAGCATACATTACATCACAATTATTTAAGTAATTTCTTTTGCATAAAAGGTACTAAGATAGTTTTTTTTTTATTTCAGAGTTCTTTTTTTATTTCACGAAAGTTTTTTGTTTTTAATTTCGTGAGTGAAATATTTTACTTTTATTTTTTTTTTATTTGTATTCTTAGGCACTATAATTATATTTTTATTGTTTTTTGAGCATTTTTTTTATTTTATGAGATTTATTTTCACAAAAGTTTTTTTTTTCTTGCGTGAAATTTCCTACTTTTTAATTTTTTTGTTTTGTATACCTGGACTACATGTGTATTATTTAAAAATTGCATGATATACATTTTTTATTTCACGAAAGTTTTTTTTTTATTTCTTGATTTAAATGTTTTACTTTAATTTATTTTTATTTTTTGCTTTATATTTTTCACTATTTCAAATAAATTCAAAACCACACGGATTTATGCCACTTAGCTACATTTTCCTTTAAAACATATTTAAACACACTTGTGCGCTAAAACCTTTGTATATCCATGCACCATAATCCCGCTCGTTTAAAGATTAGCCAAATTTATTATACCTCTTACTCAATACACTTGTTGCTTGGTCTGAATATAATTTTCGAACGTTATTTCCACAATTTCAGTATCATTTAATATTCACTTATGTAGTTCTTCCAATTAAAAGCGCGAAAACAAAACACTTTCGTTACCGACACCGCTTCACTGACGACTGACCGACCGATCATGCCAAATAGATCGAGTTCACGCCGCTCGACAAAATTTTGCAGCTCTGTTTTTGTTGTTTTGCCATTTGCTCACAAATTAAAATTTTCTGAAAATTGTTCGCATTTTCTACAACATTTTCTCCGATATTTTTACGCTGCTCACTCGCAGTCAATATTGCCATTGCTATTTTTATTATGAATGATCATAGATGGCAGCAACCACGCATATGTGCATACGTGTATATATCGACAATTTAGATATACAATTGCTTTGAGGAGCTGCGGGGATCGTGCGCAAGTTTATGCTCAGCGCGAGCATCGTTCTAGTGATCTAGCATACATTCTAGCACAGCTGAGGCACAATATGATCAACATGTGTTGCGTCTCTTTGTTTCAATACGGAGCGAATTTATGTATTATTTATCTATGTAATACATATGTATGTAGATATGTATAACAGAATGTTGAGTGTTTAATTAAACGCTTAACTGGGTGGTTTTGTTGTTATTGTCCAAGCTTCTGCTTAGCGCTAAACGACAGCGAAAAATTACCAGCAACATAATCTAATTGATTGCAATAGACATACAGACTCATAAATACCTCTCACACACCAGTGCGTATAATGAATATGAATGAGGAAAATTATAGGTGAGGTGTGTTTAGAGTTCAATCGAAGATCTCAGTACATAAATGAATTCTATAGTCTAAGCATAATATCCGACTTTTTTTGTATCATTGCATTTTCTTTAAATTTCGTTCCTTTTTAATATATTCGTCTATAATTCTCATCAAATTTATAAAATATTTTTCGACGTATATTGGTTAGATTAGAAATCACATATTGTAGTACTAAAATAGATCGATCACTAAACAGTACTAAAATAGATCAATATATTTTGAGTATAATGATGCTATACAGTAATAAATTCTACTAGAAACTTCATATTTGTATACTTAAACTAAAGCTGCAATAATTTTTCACCCTACTAAAGGTCAATTCCTAAGGAATTATCCACGTTTTCACTAAGAGCAACTTAAGGGATTATGTTCACTTGTGAAACCGATTTTTTTCTTATATATCACATGTACAATTTGTATTTGGACCGGCAAAGAGTTTCAGAGACACGAGCGTGTTTATAGGAATTTTTAACTTAGTGTAATCGGCTACCAAAACTTTAAAAGCGTTTTTCTCGAAATACTGTTTTCAAAGCCGCTGAGGAAAATTTGTCCTAAGCCGCTGAAGCGATCAACTTGCAATTACATGACCTTGTTATATTTGTCAGGTAATATTCTTTTTTGTTTTATTTTTGTATTTAAGATAATTTAAGCAGAAAAATCTTCTTTAGAATACCTTTTTTCTAAGGTTCTCCTGGAGATCGGGTACGGGATCAAAGAAATCCAAAATATTTCAAAATAAATCGCCGATAATTTAAGTACTTTAAATTATAATATTATATAATACTATTAATGGTCATTATTTTTATTTATTTATTAAATAAAATGTCTCTTCAAAACAAATTCACAAAACAACACGTGTTTTTTCTGACTTTCAACTGGACATAACCGCTTAAAATATGAGCTATGCTTATGCATTCTTTTATTGAGTATGCTAAGACAGTTTTGACATTTTGAGTGGCTTTAGAATGAATCAGTGAAGACTATAGAGTAAAGTTAAAGTAACTAGACGTTGTCAACGTAGGTTTCTCTTACTCTGTCAACTTCATATTAGTAAACGACAAACTTGAAAAATGTCGCAAATAACATATAAGAACATCTAAGTATGTTATGCTCCTCTTAAGCCTGATCTTACAGTATACCGCTAAATGATGTGGTGTTCTACATAGCGATCTGGCAATGTCACCTCATTTGCTACAAAAGCACTGACTTCAGAAAGGCAATTGAACTTTGACTAGCATTTGGAAACTACACGGTATCATAACATTAGATTACCATTAAAAATATTCTGAAATGTCGGAAACAGCATACCAAAAATTAGAGAAGTGCGTTGCGAGTTATTTCCCCAATGCAGTTAAGATTGTAAAGAAATTTCGATTCAAAAAAATTTTTTTTTGGTAAAATAACAAATTATTTTAATCAAAAAAGAGACATAACTGTACCAAATATTTCAAAACATAAACACACCTATATATGTCTGTATATCTATATATATATATATATATATATATATATATAAATTTATATAAATATTTATCCAAACTCATTCGCTCCATTAGTTTTGTAGAACGGAAAATAAGTGTGCAGAATGCGAAAAAGTAGCAAAATAAAACTAACAAAATAGTTTTGAAAATATCAACAAAAGAATTGGAACAGTAAAAACAATAACAAAGCGGCCAACGCTGGAAAAGACGATCAATCGTGTGAGATCAACAATAATAATAACAGAAGGTGAATTGGAATAAGAGCTGGTGCTTGTAGGCAGATGTATGTACATATGTACTATGTAATCTATATTTGTATATAATTGGCAAAAATTTAAGCACATATAGAGCATAACAACAACAATGCAGAAAAAACTGGGTGTGGTGCGAAAAGCTTATTTGCGAGAGCATTAAAGCAACCATTTAAAAAAGAATAAACAAAAATAAACATCAGCGAGGGAAGAGTGTAGAGCTTTGTATGTCTAGATATACAATTCAAGTTCTTTGGAGAACCTGAAGCAAGGACAGATCGCAATCTAAACTTGATGACCCGGAAACAATGCAACCTACTATTCACTTACTATTCTTTGCAAACGATAACTATTTTTTAATATATTTTTCCTGTCAATCTACAGAAAGAACCAATTCCATGCAAGCGATCAGATTAACATCGATCAAAGAAACATATGAATAGGAATTATTAGATATCTGCAAAGTTTAAAGTGTTTTAGATACTAGTTGTTAAAAGCAAAGAGAAAATCTCAATTTAGCCTCCTATAAGTATTTCCAAACGTACCCTTACTTAAAGAGCTAGACCCAAACTCAATGAGAAACATCTTTACCGGTCCTAAGATAGTCGGATATTTACAATATTTTGTCATTATTCCCCAAAATATAAGTAATTTTTTTGGACCTACAACAAAAGCAAAAACAAGAAAACCAACATCGGGCGGTTAATTAAATCTCTTAAGCGGAAATCAATTTGGGTGGATAGTCCATCACATAAACCTCAAAACCAACTGAATATATCTAGATAGCTGTGCAACAGGTTCAACCAGCGCCTCGCATAAGCACTAGTGGTGCGCTGCGTACAACAGCAATGATGCTACTTAATGCCATTATACATACTCGTATAGCACCCGTGAAGGTTGCTGTAGAGATGTCCGAAAAGCAGCTTCTTTCAGGGAGTGAGCATTCACTACGATAGCAGAGTGCATGACCTCATTAGCAGTAGCATCCAGTTACTTCCGTAATTGACTTGTCTGGATGCCTACTCACAGCGAAATTGCTGGAAACTGTTGAGCCGATCAGTTTGCAAATGGCATCCTTACCTGAATTCAATTAGGAGAAGAACGAGCCGGTGTTCCCATCCTCTTGCGTTGTGACGTTGGATCTATGGACCTCGCGCGAGCTCAGCTGGCGTTGATCAGAAGCAAGCACATGTGGGATTGCAAAGTATTTCTATTGAATTACTTACTCATAGCTTATCACGCCGAAAAGATGGTCTAACTGCACACTGTTCTAACATCACTCACGCGATGATGGTGTAGATTTTGAAGAACGCAACTTGTAAAAGTTTCATGAAAGCGGATGAAGTGGAAACATCTACACATTTTTCCTTCACGATCCAGCTTTCCACAGACTAAGGTTGACGCAACTCGGTTGTCATACCTTTCACGAACCAGACGAATTGGTTGGAATTGATTTTATTATTGACTCAATAAATTTGTGGCGAGCTCAAGGCGCTTTATCGATATACGGCGGGCTTTTTGATCCATACTTAGCGAGTTCTGTGCATCACAATGGACAGGAGGGAGATAATTCGTTGCCTCACGAATGGCAGCCTTACCTAATGTAGGGTAAAGAAGGCAACCCTACATTAACCACTTGTTGACCGAATAAAAATCCAGAACCATTTCGGTTACGAACTGACTGGCGTGGGAACGGATCACAACATTTCATACTAAATGCTATGGCTGAATAGGGAACGAAGCCTTAACAACGATTTAAGCTTATTTAAGCAAGAAAATCCATCTGAGACTCATAGTTAAAGAAAATGAAAATGAAAAAGAAATAAATGGCTAAATCACCTTAGTTTCGTAAAGAAAATCAGTGCCAGCTGCTGGAGAATAAACCGATTCGGTTAACCACGAATTACGTTTTCACAAAATTTCACAAATATTTTTTTTTTCCAAATTTTACTTGTATGTACGAGAAAAGACATTTCCTGCTGCAAACTCTGAAGGCACTTATTTTTACAACTCCCTTGATATTTATACTTTGAATATTATACCTTATTTTTTGTTGTTGCATACATATGGTAAGCATATGTTGAAGTGGGTATTTTTATATATGCCGCCACACTTCGCCACTTGTTTACGCGCTTTGACATTGATTTACTTTTCGTTTCATTTTTATTTTCCTATCCACACATGTGTTCACCTTTATAGTGCTGTTATTACATGCTCATTATTGCGCCCAAGTTTCGTATGTAGGCGCTCTCTCACTGCGGACATGTTGTGTTTAACCCATTCATTTTGGCATTTGTTTATTTTGTTGCTGTTGTTGCCAAGACATATAGCACAATAGCCGAAGTGTCCTTAAAAGTAACGATAATGATTTTGACAGACAACAAGCGCCACACACTCGCCGGGGAATTGCGAAGATGCTATGAGAGAGAAAAGTTTGTATGTTTTTATTACACTGGTTGTTGTTGCGCAATTTCAACCACCTGGCGTTTGTTGTTACCTGCCGTTTACAAATTTTCTTAAAGCAAAATATGTTTTGCGGCGAAATAGAACGAGCGCGATCCGTTAGCTATTTTCATCTAATTTTATTTTATTTTCTTAATAGGCGACACGAAACGAATACCATATCAGGTTACTAAGATAAGTTAATAAGTTCATCGGATCTTTAAAAACTTCACAGCCCGATCTAATTTGAATGAATATATCATATATGGTAAAGATACGTAAATACGACTTGATACCAACCTCTTTTAGATAAAATATTCATATATCCTAACGAGCTTGAAGTATTAATCATAACGACCCCAATCAAAAAGGCTTGTTGAAGAAATAAGTTATATTTGACATTTCTTTTATAACTATTATTTCTTAATATTATAGGAGCGATATCATTTTAAAAAATTAGAACAGTTCTTCTTCATAAGTCAATCTCACAAACCACTTACATCAAATTTAAGGCCACATGACTTTCTTATGCGAGCAGATTTACCATTAAGAAAGCTTACTACCGGAAACTATCAGACATGGTGTCGAAAATTACATAAATAGATTATTGACCACGCCTATTAGTCAATTCTTGCCGTCCGCTTTTCATTTTAGAAAAGTTTCGAAAACCGTTTACCTTTATAATCCTATCACAATTCTAACCTAAATCTTAATCCGTACATATACTTTTTTTACCAAAAGCACAAGCTTAGAGTTAAGGGGTTACACAGACTTGCAAATCGGAATACACGTTTTTTTTGTGATAATTTTTTATTTTTTTTGTTTTGTTGAGGCATTTTATTTAACAAAGAGATAATCTAAATTTAGAGAATATCATGTACTTTAAGAATAGGTCATTCATTTTGAAAATTTATGGATTGCCTGGAATCCGAAGCCGATCTGAAGAAAAACATACAAAAAAAGGTGTCAGGCGGTGAGAAAGATTTTTCTGCTTAAAATTATCTCAAATTCAAAAACCAAAAAATTATTATTACAATAGATTAGATAATAGACGACAGGTAACGATCGGAGAACTTGTCAAAATTTTGATTTTTAACCAAATAACGGCTTTCCAAAAATAAGTAGTTTTTTTGTGAAAAAATCTAAACTTCAGAGTGGCTAAAAAATCGAAATTAACAATATGTTTATTTCTTCGAGGATTATCTGACAAATATATCGATTGGTCCACCGGTTTCGGCGACATTTTAATCACCGACTCTTAAACAGCGTTTTGAGGATAATTTTAAAGTTTTGGGAAGAGTTAAAAAAAATTCTTGCAAATATGCTCATATTTTCGAAACAAATTGTCGGATCAACTTCTAATTTTCAAAGAAAATATGTATATGTATCAATTTTAAACAAAAAAAAATTTTTTTTTAATTCAAAAATACAATAGATATTACTCCTTAACGTGAATATATATATAGAAGTAAATGTTGTCGTGACCTTTGTGTCTTATAAATAAATTTTTCCTTTTTTGGCGACGTTTGATTTCAACAAGACGGAGCCACCTCCCACAAATCACAGCAATCAATGGATTTATTGAGAGAACACTCCGGTGAGCAGATAATTTCACGTTTTGACCCTGTTGGCCATCAAGATCGTGTGATATCATACCGTTAGACTTATTGCTGTGGGGATATGTAAAGTATAAGTCTATGCGAACAGTACCGCTTCGATTCAGGCTTTGGAGCAAAATATCACGCGTGTAATTCGCCAGTTACCAGTTGAAATGCTAGAACAAGTCATTGAAAATTTGACTCAACGAATGAAGACGCAGCGGCGGCCAACATTTAAAAAAGGTAATCTTCAAAAAATAAATGCAAAAGAATGTTCTTTCGAATGATAATAAACATTCCTCATTAAATTTGCACTTTCTGTATTTTTTTCTTTAAAAAAGTAGGGAACCTCAAAGTGGATCACCCTTTATATAATAAAGGACGCACTTTGTAGACAAGATCAAATCTGTGAGCGCATATTGGAGATGAATAGTCTTCTAATAAAAATTACCTGTCATTTATGGGCGGCTCCAAAACCTAAGCAAAATCTAAACAAGTTTATATATCTATCCAATAACAGCAGTCAGATTTTCTAAAGAATCGCAACTGGTTTGATCAACCTAATATTAGGAAGGGTTGAAAAAAAATACAAACTAGAGCTAGAATGAAATTAAAGAGACGTACACAATAAAACATGAGTTATATAAGCGATCAAGTATATATATAATTCATAAACCACCGAACACACTTCAAAAGTACAGACGAGTATGAATTGACATATTTGTATTAAAATTAATGCTGAAACATCAACACAATCAGCTATGAACACAAACTAGTACGTTTAGAAGAATTTTCTAGCAGAACCGATAAAGAAGCCCGGACCATTACCCTGCCTCACCTCATCATCGAACCATTGTTTCATCGCCTGTATGTAACCATGCTCATTGGAGCGTCCCATATAATAGCTAATCTTGTTATTCAAAAGCATTTGCGTGTCACGTGCCGTTTCCAAATTATTATTCAACATCGCATTCCAAATGGCCCAACCCAAGTCGGGGCGTATATTTAAGACTGTCATCAAAGCCGATTCGAAACCCACCAATAAGCCGCAGGCCAGCAAACGACTGTTGCCCAATATAATTACGCGTCCTTCACGCAAACACGCCTCGCCATCGTCCAGATCATTGCTGGCAAAATGTATACCATAGAAATTCGGTATGGTCTCTTCGGCCAATTTGCAAAAATCACGCATGTTAACTACAAAAAAAAAAATGTCGTAAGAAAACGTTGAAAATGTTAATTAATTCGTATGGTTGTAACTGCGCTACTACATACGATAGACCCCAGTGCTCAGCGGTAGATGATAGTAGAAGAAAGGCAGTGCGGCACAACGTTTAGCCACTAATCGCATATAACTGACCAGCTGTTCGACTGTGGTGGGCTTGTAGAAGAGCTCGGGTAGGCAAAGCACCGCATGTACGCCCAATTCGTGCGCATGATCAGCCATTACTAGTACATCGGGCAATGGTGCGCCGCCGACTTGCAGAAACATAACCAATTCGTATTTTTGTGCGGCCTCCCACCAAGCCTCGGCATTTCGCATGCGCTCCGACAAACCCAAGGCGGGACCCTCACCCGACATGCCATTAACTGTTCATATAATGAAGGAAAATTGTGTTGATCAGATGATTGTTGAATATATATGGACTCACTTAAGTACCTAAAACACCACTAATACGATTAAATTTCAGCCATTCTGCGTAACGGTCAATATGCTGAATTTCCAATGATTGTTCTCTAATACAAATTGAATTAAATATTAACTCGCATATGTCAAAACATATTTTCAGGGTCAAGTTTACTCATTATTTTTGAAGGCAGTGAATACAGGCGCCATTAGTCCTTTGAAATCGAAGAATTTTACACGTTTACTCTCCGTTTGCTGCACTTTAGTGTTTCGAGTTCGGATCGCACGCTTTGCAGGTCCATGTACTTCTTCCTCATACCGAGCCGCTATATATTGCTCCATCGCCTTATCTGATGGTATAACTATTGGCCGACTTTTCTTATTACCCAGCGTGATGTTATTAAAATGGAGATTGAAAAATAAATAAATAAATAAGCTAGAACGTCTTACGTTTTCTTTTGTGAATCTTTGTAATGTTATGACAAACCATATTCGGCTCTACATATGTAGTTCTTGAAGGCAACGATAAGAAATTTTCATTTACTCGATTACAACAAATTCTTATGGCATATTTCAATCAAGCAGAATGGTTTTTTCTATGCGCATAAACACTTCTACTTCTTCTTCACTTTATATCCAGCCATAGACTGTCAACTCGCTAGAATTTCGAAAACAAGGACTGTCAACAACAACAATATCCAAAGAGCAATAGGAATGCAATTCCACACAACTAATTGAACGCAAAGGAAACAAAAGGCATTCAGTGAACTTTTGGTAGAGAGAAAAATGCCAATACTTGGATACGTGGTCCCGCGGAAGGCTCAAAAAGCCAATAATGCAGTGCGAGTGTTTTGTCGAGGACCCTTCGGTAACACTAAACAGCCCCATTATAGAATTATGTGTCCCCTACAACAACCACATATGTCTAAAAGAACAACAAGGTTAAGAGTTGTTCAGCACTGCTTTACGGCCCACGGACGGACTACTCTCATCTTTTCGAGCCAATTAGCAAATATTAAATTCTTTTTGGAAGATTTCAAAAATTACAATAATACGAACAGAATTTTTACCCCTGGTTCTGTGACATGCATTCTTGGCAGGGATAATCGTGAATTAAATATTTCTTTTAGTGCATTTTTTCTCTTTCGCAGTCTGGCTTTAAATATCATCGGATTTTCCAAAATTTGAACTGTCCGCGAAAGCTAAAGGAAATTTCGAAAAATGTTTCATGTCGGAATACACCAATGTATCATCTAAAGTGTAAAATTTCACCACACTTGGTTCGTAAAATCCAAAGACGCTCTGAAAACATTGTAAATGTTTTCTAGCAAAAGCAAATTGTAATTGTCAAAAACAAAAACGCTTCGTTAGTTTTTCGCACAGCAAAAATGCTCCAATCCCGTTTTGGAGCCTCGGTGTCTGCAAAAAAACCTGTGCCGTCGGACTTTAAGGGTATATTCGCATCTGTTTTCACAAGCTTTCAATCCGATGAGTAAGTAAGGGTTTTAGGAAACTCGAAAAATATACAAAAATTTTACAAATTTAAATAAAAATGTTGTTTTTGGTAATATTTGAACACCAGACATCAAACCTTACAATTGAGTTGCATTGAAGATTATGCCGCATGGCTCAAGAATCACCATGTAAAAGGCGTGCTAGGTATGGTTGAAATTTTTTGTGAAAATATTTACTAAACTTTACGCGAACATTCCGCGCATTTCCTCAGTCAACAGCACAACTGGGGAGGGTCCGGTTTTGGGTTTGATTGAACGCAAATTGAATGCCGAAGCTTGGAGTCGCGCTTGTAAAAAGTGTTCGTTATTGATGTTGTTGCAAATTGGCGGTGCGCCATTGCCCGACGTTTTGGACTTGGCGCGACATGCCAACGATTTGTGCATACACGGTGTGGTTTGTATAGCGGAACTATTTTATGTTCCTACCAAAATAGAGCAATTGGTTGGTTACTGTAAAATTGTGGCGGAGAAATGCGCAAATCACCTCTTCTTGTACTATCACTTGCCGGAATTGACGAAAGTCAAATGTAAGTGAAAATAGTTGCTATTGATTATTTTTTTTAATATTTTCTTCTTAAACTCAGTCAACCCCGAGGAGTTCTTTAGTAGCGCTGAAAGTGTCATACCGACTTTCGCGGGCTTGGTTTGTAAACAAACCGAATTGATGACGGCCATCAAATGCATGACTGAAGATCGTATTATACTAATGGGCGATTCGAAAATGCTCGCCGGTGGCATGTTAATGGGTTATGATGCGGCCATTATGACGGTGGCAAACATGGAGCCGACATTAATGAAAGAGATATATGACGCAATGTTGAGGAAGGATTTGAAGACAGCTAAAACTAAACAAAAATATTTAAATCAACTCATTAGAAATCGTATAACAAAGGGCAGGTCTAGTTGGATTTCGGATATGAAGAAGTGGTTCAATGAGAAAATGGCATCAAGTGACGGTTGTGGTATTTTTGTTGGTAAACCGAGAAAATTTGGTATATACGAATTATAATAATGGAAGAGATATTCTTGTTTAATGTTTAAGCGTTTTTCAGATTAATATATTGATTATAATTCTTGATGTTGTAGTGGTTATTTGAAACTCAATTTGAAGGAAAGATAGGGACAAGGTCGAATGGTAAACTGACCTGACTGTTTCGACGAAGTCGGAAGATAAGCGATGTTAGCTGAGTTGGATTGAATGATCATGCAAAGTGGTGGTTCGTGTTACACGGCGACTCGACATGCAGAATATACTTGTATGTAATAAACCATAATCATCTGTTCTACCTTACCGAACTTCGCCAGGAGTTTAACCATCTAAGATCTATTAGTTCAGCAATTTATACTGGATTAAATCGTTGTACGAAATTGTAAAGATATTGAAATAGGTAGGTAATAGATTGCAAGGGGATCTCACACAATCAAGGAGGGGTCCTTAAGGAAGCGGCTTCAAGTAGGCGGTCAGCGTTAAGTGAAAATATTATTTGGAAGGTAGAACCGAAAAGTTTCAAAGAAATAGTCAAACTTAAAATATATAGATAAAATACGAATACTGTTGAAAATATATGTACATATGTATATAGGTTGCTGCAAACTCAGAAAAAATATGCATAATAAAGGCATATTTTCGTCAGAACACTGTTATTCCTGCGACTTGGCGGCAAATACCAAAGCAACTACTTCGTAATTGCAAAGCGCTTACTCGAGGAATAGATATTGGATATTAGGATCTAAAAATCCGAGAAGGAAGCACTTCTGTCTCACGAACTGTAAGGCACAGTAAAGAACTCGAACCACTATCTTCTTCAATTCACACTTTGATAACATAAGAAAGAAACAGTTTTAAGGTGCCTTGAATTTAACTGTCAATTTTGACAAACCTGACATTGCTGAACATCAAAATCGTGTAAAAAAAAGTTACGAGAAATTCCGACAACTGAAAGTTTTTTAAAACGCTCAAGCAGTTATGGACGTCGCAGAATTGAAGTCTTTCGAGGGTTTCTTTGCACCGGCATTCACATGCTTTGAAAATAATGAGTAAGCTCTGTAGATAACAGTAAAATTTGCATTGAAAGTTAGCACCATTTTGCAGAGATAAAACCTTAAATTTAGGACACATTGACACCTATGCGGAGTGGCTACAACGAAATGGAGCCGTAGGTGTTTTAGGTGAGTCAACTTATGTACATTTATGGCTCTACCAAAGTCTAAAGGGATAATCTTCTAACGTTAGTCAATAGCATCACCGGCGAGGGTCCCATTTTGGGCAAAATCGAACGTCAATTGAATGCCGAAGCTTGGAGCGTCGCTTGTAAGAAGTATGAACTAAAAATGCTGATACAAATTGGCGGCGCACCAATGCCCGATGTGCTGGATCTGGCAAGACATGCTAGTAGTTTAAATATAAATGGTGTGGTCTGCATACCGGAACTGTTCTATAAGCCAAGCGATGTTAAGCAATTGGTGGGCTATTGTAAGATCGTCGCCAAGAATTGTAGGCGGCATCCATTCATTTACTATCACTTGCCACACTACACGGATGTGTTTCGTAAGTGCAGCACATGACCAAATTTCTTACGCAACAAAATAATTTTTAACTGTATATAATTAGTTGACATGCCTGAGTTTTGTGAACTTGCGGAAAAGAGCATACCAAATTTTGCGGGCATCGAATATTCCCATAGTGATCTAGCAATGGCTGCAAAATGTTTGGCTCCAAATCGTATGATCATACTTAGCGATTCACGTATGCTATCCAGCGGTCTGCTACTCGGTTTCAAAACATTTTGCATGGCCGCATTCAATATGGTACCAGATACGATGCGTGAAATTTACGATTACATGAAAACTGGCAAAATGAATTTAGCAAAGAGAGAACAAAAACTTTTAAATAGTTCCATACGAGAACATATGACTCGGCAAAAGAAAGGTAGCTGGGTTAAGGCCATGAAACAATGGTTTAACGAAGAGATGAAGAAACCACAGAATGGAACTATATTTTCGGCAGGTCACACACGTAAACTCCGCTAGGATTCGTTCTTTTTCCATTATTTTTTTAGTTTTGTTAAAATTTCCATTTTTATGATTGCAATTATTACAATAAAATATAATTTATGGTTGTCACTGTAATTAAGGCTGTTTAAGGGGCACAAGTGACGAAAAAAATTTTAGTTTTATTTTTTGCATATTTCGATAGTCTATATCTTTAAAAATACGCAAAATACCGTACTTTTTATTATAATATTTTATTATATATTTTAAAATAATTTTTGAGTTACCACGTTCTAAACTATAGGCGCCCAGTTCAATCAGCTCGATCAGTTTATCTTTGAGTGATTAATCGGAGACAAATGATCCGATTACTATCAAATCTTTTCTGCATGTAATACTTCATACAATAACCAATCAGTTTTTGAACTGATCAAAAGTCGAATTTTGACAAGCAAAACACGACCAAAATTTCGGGAAAATTCAGCTATATGTAGTCACTTATTGTATAACTTTAAACACGTTTTTCTCAAAAATGTGGTTCGAAAGTCGGTTGTCAAGTCTTCTCGCGAACAACTTAACTGATCTTAACGAGATTTTACACAGGTCTTCGAGCTATAATTTACAAGGTTTTGAACCAGGGATTTTTGTTTTTGTTCAATTACCACTATGTAAAAAGCAAAAAACGTTGAGAAATTTTCAACAAAATTTTAATTTTTTTTTTTTGTAAAATCGTCTACCAAAAGTACAATTTTCACTTTTTTTTGTATTTACTTCCGCCAATACCTAGTTTATGGTTTTCATCAAAACACGTATTTTGTTTTTACTACAGATGATCCGCCAAGAGTTTCTGCTGTTCACGCGGAGGCACCTTTTTTCCGAGGGACTGCCGGAAATGACGTCGTAATGGTCGAGTTTTGAATATTTTCCTTTGAAAATTTCACAAAATCGTTGAAAAATATGTATTTTTGGAATAACAAAAAGTTTGAATAAAATATTTACTTATTTATATGACAAAAAAAAATTATTGTAAATAGACCGTTTTTTGCTCGAGAAGTAGAGTGTACAGTTAAAAAAAAAACTACTAAAAGCGTTATAAATCAAGCTCTATACACGCCAGAGACTTTAAATTGTATCTCTGGAATGGTAAGAGATGACTTTATAGGAACCGCGTTCAAAATTAGACAGGGGGTGTGGCAGCGCCCACTTTTTGGACAAAAACATTTTTTTGTTTTAAACTCCAAACGGTAAAAATTACCGAATTTGACGGTTTTTGGTTTAAAAATTTATTTAAACGCTTAAGGAAAGTATGTCGATTAAGACTTTGTTTCAAAACTCCAATAATGACCACAAGAACTTTTTTTAAGTTGATAACTTTTAATTGGCCAGAAAGAAGACTCTCCACAGCTAAAAAATGTTTTTTTAATAAAAATTTTAACTCGAAACTTACTTGAAAAGTTAGTGGGTCGCCTCTAGATATTAAAAAAAAAATGTTTTCCAAATATTTTCTTTTTTATAATCTACAATTTTTACCCTCAGGCTAATCAAAAAAAAAAAATTTACGCTCCACCCTATTCTGGAGCATAGTTAGTTATGGCTATTTATTTGTTTTTGATTAATGGGGTTTTGTGGGCGTGGCAATAGTACGATTAAGCCCATCAATACCAACCGTCTCATGTCAAATACTTGTTATTTAAGTAAAAGTTTCCAGTATAAATATACTTGAGTAGCTGAAAGATGAAAAATTTTACATTTCTTCTGAAGGCAGAGAAAAAAAAATACCAAAAAAATTTGTTATACATATATTTCCTTCTAAATGATTTATTAGATGCATGTGCGTAAATACAAATGTAATTTTACAATATGATGTGCCAGTTCAACCCAATATTTGACACAATAACCATAATAATTTTACTTGTGCAATGCAAATTTAAAATGTTGGTTGGCAACTAAGTAATTGCGGATTTTTTTTCTAAATCAAAGACAATTTTTTCATGGAACTAAATAACTTTATTCTGTAATGTATTTACCATTTTGAACAATGACCTTTTGTCATCTTTCAGGCAGCATCATAATCCTACTTTCAACAAAAACTTCTGGTTTTTATAAGCAAAAAACTGAATCAGGTACGATTTGACATCAACATCATTATTGAAATGTTTACCATTCAAGGAGTTTTGTAAAGATCGAAACAAAAAGTAATCCGATGGTGCAAGGTCAGAACAAGGACAGGTGGATGTGGCAAAACATCCCAACCAAGCTCCAATAATTTGTGCCGTGTGACCAAAGATGTGTGTGGCCTTGCATTGTCATGATGGAATACAACACCTTTTCGATCTATCAATGCGGGCCGCTTTTCTTCAACTGCATTGTTTAATTGCGTTAGTTGTTCTATGTAGACAACAGAATTGATTGATCGTTCGGTTGGGTGGTAAGAGTTCGAAGTAGACAATTCCTTTATAATCCCACCAAACTGATAACAAAACCTTCTTTTGATGAATACCAGCTTTTGATGTTGTTTGAGCTGGTTCACCTGGCCTGCTCCACGATCTTTTCCGCTCGATATTGTTGTAAACAACCCATTTTTCATCGCCAGTTATCATTCGTTTTAAAAATGGATATTTTTCATTACGTTTTTTTAGCAAATCGCATCGATCCAGCAAATCTAAAAATTCAACTGAAGCCATCTAAGTGAAATCCGCAATTACTTAGTTGCCAACCCAATAATAATTTTACATGTGCAATGCAAACTTAAAATATTAAGAAAAAAAAATTATTTTGATGAAATAATGGTGAAATTTGTTTAAAAAAAAATAACATCATATGTATTCATACAAACTTTAATCAGACTTACAATTGTGTTAAAATGAAAGAGAAATAAAAAATCTGAGTAAAAGCAGTATGTGCGCGTTACTATTAATGATGAATATAAAATGTAAATAAATCATATCGGTGAGGGCATGCATGATGACGGTGGGGATTTGGTAAGCAAAGGGGCATAAAAAACTTAATTACAAATAATGGAGATGCGTGTGACAATACAAGCAGTTGCAAAAATCATTGGGAACGCTGATGATTCCTTGTGCTCGCATGTGTTACTTGTATTGAAGGAAAAACAAAAACCGATGATTATATGCAATAACAAGTAATACCCGGCACACATATTCGATAAACAATACAGTAAACATACAAACACATCACGCAATGATTCCGCCGGCTGGCCGCTTGCACACACGCACACCACACACCTTACGCTGGTGCGGCGGCCAGGCAACTAAAACGTGTAACCACCTTCGGGTGCATTCGATTGGCCCGCATTAAATTCGAGCGCACCATTAACCTCCTGTGGCGCCAGCTCCGCTTCAGCATCCTCGCCGCTATTGAAGTATGTATCCACCAGTGCGAAGGCCTTTTTGTATATTTCTTCGTTTTCGTGCTCTTGTAATTTCTCCAGTTTATCCAAACCACCCATCTCCTCGACCATCAAGCAAAGATTCTCTGTGCCGCCCAACTTTTCGGCCAAAACAAACAAATTACCGAGTCCCATGAGTACCACCTTAATGGTGCGCGAATCCTTTGCGTCGAGTAAATCACAGAATGGCTTCAATATTTGATATTTTTCAATCAGATCGATTATTTGTTCAGGTGTGCCACTCGTTGTGGTATTTGTAACGGCCCAAGCGGCTTCTTTTTGCGATTTGAAATCGCCCTTCTCCAATACATGGCGAATGGGTGTGAAAAGACCTGGAGTTATTGGAGGGAATTGATGATAATATTTAGTTTAAAAATTTTTTTCAGGTTAATAACTTTGTTGTTTTGCTTTGCAGAAAGCGAAAGAGTGTGAAATAGCGTGAGAACAGAAAAGTGACAGTGCAAGGCAAATTCACAAATAATAAGTACAAACATGTAAATGAAGATGGTAATCTAGAGTAAAAGTAAAAAGCAATAAACAATAAATATAAGAAACAATTTTATATTATGAAAGAGATTTTGTATCAGAAGAACATTTGAAATAATAAACGACATTCAAGTTCAGGCATTATAGTTCGTACAATGGGAATATATATATATATATATATATATAAATCATTTATTTAAATTTTATCTTGATTTTGAGCGTTCAGTTTTTATGACAGCTACATATATGCTATAGTGATTGGATCAGAAAAATTTCATCAGAGATGGAAGCGTTGTCTATTGAAATATTTTATGTTAAATTTCGGGAAAATATCTCCACAAACAAAAAATAAAAAAAAGTTGTCCATACAAAGACTATAATATATTTGATAAGCTATCCGACGTTTCTTACCCTATTCAGGGTATAAACATCTGTTATATATATATTACAGATTACTTTTAGGTTATATTAATTTTAACCTAATTACCTACATATAAGATTAATAATATTTCTATTAATTATTAAAATACTGCCAAAAAGCATTATGATGTCCTACTTCAGACAATCAACGTTGAATGCCGCCATATTTATTGCATTTTCTTACCACGCTGTTATACAATTTTCTTCGTTTTTTAATTAGCGATATAGAGCATGCTTTTTCGCATATTTAAAATTGTATTTGAAAAAAAAAAATTAAGTTACTTAATTAAATTTTTGTTTACGCTGCAACTATTCATTAATGTTGATGCGCTCAATCTTCAGTCATACAAATATTTAGACACAACTATGACCAAGTTTATTTTTCATTACTCTTCCTTTCCAAATTAACCGGTAAGCAGACCGCGCAAAAGTTTCTAAATGTATGTGTGTATGTATGAGTGTACTTCAAGCGTTCACTAACCATTTGGGCAACTAACTAACAGTTTGATGAAATCAACAATTCCTCATTTGCTATTCAGCTAAACAACTACCCACCAGGATGGCAAATAAAAACCTCGCATTCAAGTGCCTGACTCCATAAAAGCGCTTACAAACACAACATAAATAAGAAAAGTAGCAAAAACAAAGCAAAGCGTAAACAAAGGAGAAAGAAATATAAAATGCAAACACAAACTCACCAGCATCGATAACGGCCTGAATCTGCTTTGGATTTCCGGCTGTGATATTACTAACCGTCCAGGCGGCCTCCTTTATAATATTACATTTTGGATTTTGTAGCAGAACACCCAATCGGGGTAAACCGCCAGCAGCAATGACTGCGTCCGTCTAGAGGTTTGAGTTGTTGGTGACAGGGCAGTAGGAATTAAATTTTACGCAGGTATTGGCAGGCGACCAAAAATAATAACAAAACCAAGAAATGAAAAAAGAATAAGAAGTGGAAAATCAAATTGTGTACGAGTATGTATGTTTGTATACTTATATTTTTAGTACAAATATAGTAGCAAATATGCAAATGAAATTTGGTGAAAACAAAAAAAAATAAAGGTATGCAAATAAATAAAAAATTAAGATAAAAAATTTTGCTGTGAATTGGAGGCTTAAAACATCAGCACCCAGAAAGTTACAATGCGCCGTAAATAAGCAATGCGAAAAGTAATTTTTGCAAATTGAAAGGCCAAAGTGATACTTCAGCTCGAGGCATAATTTGTATGGAAACAAGTATGGAAAGGCTAAATTCGGGTGTAACCGAACATTTCATACTCTTACAACTTGCAATAATCAAAGCCTGGGAAATAGCTTCAGGAGTCTTATTCAGGTAAACTTAACAACTTATTTTCAAGCAATTTAATAAATATATACTTAAATCCAGTAAGTCAGCAGGACGTTTCAAAATCGTGAATATCAGTTATATAGAGGCTAAGGCAAGTTTTCGCCCAATTTCATCCACATAACATTAGTAAAACACGATTTCTCAATTTCATTAAAATAACTAGCACATTAATCGATATATGTGGTATAAAGTCAACTAGAAGTTCGAAAATTTTTTTACTCGGTATATGGGGGCTAATATAAGTATTGAACCAATTCAACCAATTTTTGACACAAGGGTATACTATTATCAAAAAAAAAAAAAAAAAACACATTTTCCCCGAATTTCAATTATATATCTCACGGAGTGAGCGATATTTTCGGCAAAAAGTCAGTCATAGGCTCTTGGGTCCACGTTTTCAGTATCTGGCGGCTTGAATAGTTATGGTTCGATTTTGACAATGTTTAGACCTGAGTTGGCATACCTTAAAGGAAATAAAAAAAAATGATTCCGATATATTAATTAGTGCTTGCTTTGTACAATATACTGGAAAGTGAAAAACTATTATACCCTGTAGAAACATGTTGCAAGAGTATAAAAATTCAGTGCGGTAAATGAGTGGTATATAAAAAGCATTGCAATAAATCTTTACCGGATCTGCAAATGACCGAATGTGTCGTTGTAACGGTAGTGATATTATATTTAGATATGATTTTCGTTTAACCAGAATTTTAGCATCTTTTTAATAATTTTTTACAAAGCTTATCTGCTCTATGCACAAAATGCGGCGTAGAATAAATTAAAATATAAATGTCTACCTATATATTTTTAAGTTTTTTACGTGCACTGCACTGATACTTATATGATGGATTGGCTAAACACCGAAAAATCGGCAGCGTTACTTCCTTTAAACCGTTTTCGCAGTACAATTCCACTACCCAAGCAACCAATTCCATCGGTATAGTCACTAACCTGTGCACCAAAGTTAGTACTACCTTCATCAACATGCTAATCCCGGAATCCGAAGTGGAAATTCGTAAATATTCATTTTCCATTTGTGAAATGTGCAGATTATGCAGCAGCGGAAGCAACATCAATGGCAAACTATCCACACACACAGACAGACACACACTTAATAGCAAGAATTCGCGCACACAGCCACAACACCACCAAAATGCCTTCATTAGCTAGTTAAGTACCAGCAGGTTGCCTCAGTGCCACCCTCTCTTTTATACACTCTAGCTTACTTTCTCGCAATTTTAATGCGGATCTGTGTCAAGTAATCGACGCCAGCTTTGAATTCATATGCAAATTTACACATAGTTATGCAAAAACTCGGCGTCCAAGCTTTAAGAGGCTAAAGAGAGCCGAGGTAAGTTGTGGCGTGCATAACAGGAAATGATTGCGACCAACCAACCGACGAATGATTCCCAACTGCACAAATGGTGTTTGTTACCGAAAATTGTATATATATATATGCATACGACCAGTGCTGCAGAGGGGTAAACAAATATAAATGTAGCTAAAGTCAGATTAACTAGCGCACAGAGAGTAGCACTTATCGTTGGTGCAGGCCTTCCGATCTGCAGTTAAATCTTAAATCACACGTTGTTCTGTTTAGCTGCACTTCCGAATGTGCATTAATGTTTCAATAAGCGTATGTGTTTTTTGACTGTATTCACATTAAAGATCTCAGCGTATACCACTATAAACCTAACACTTATAATTACACTCACCTGCAGATCAGTGCCGGTTACAATATTTCCTACACTGCGTAGTGCTGGCACAATTATAGAAGGCTCGTCAGTGCCAAGCAGTTTAACAAGATGCGTCACTGCCCCTGTGTCGACGACCGCCTGGATTTTCAAATTTTCATCATCCGTCACATATGAGAGCGCCCAACAGGCATCAGCTAACACTTGTGAATCCTCACCTAAGAGCAATCGCGATAGCACGGGCAACAAACGTTTAATCTCTTCAAATGGTGGTGATGGATTTTTGTTGCGGCACAAATTCGACATCAACCAAACAATGTTGCGCAAGAAGGAAAGTGGTGTTTCACAATTTATTAAACCAAGTATACCTTCCACAACATTATGTTGTATGACGATGTCACGTGCTGCTGCTCCGTCACCGGCTATATTACCCAGAGCCCAAACCGCCTGCTCGGCAAGATTAATGGACTTAGATTTCAACAACGCAACAAAATGTGGCACAGCATTTTGCTCGATAACGCAACGTGTTTGTTCCGAAGTGCCAGAAGCGATGTTGGTAAGCGCCCAAGCAGCTTCAAATTGTAGTAAAGGACTATAAACATAACACAAGATATGGAAAATAAAGTCAATAAAATTGCTACGTGTATATTTAACGTTAGTTCGCCTACTTCTCGTGATTTTGTAGAAAATGTATGCAAATAGGAACAATGCCATGCCCTATCATTAAATCAATAGGCGGATTACGTTCGCGACTTAGCATTTTACGTGCTGATTGCATGCCTGAGAATTGACGCTCTACATCTTGACTGTTCATAGCGGTAACCATTTCGTCAATGCTCATTGGCACTGGCGATTGGCTATTACTCTCTTTCAGAGGAGATACAATATCCTCATCGTTGATGTTGCGTCGTTTGAAAAGTTGATCCTCTTTCTTTGATTTACGCAACTCCACAGTAACTTCATGGCGGCGCATGCGAGACTCCTATGTATCAAAAATATTATTTCATAGTTTAAGAATCCAGTGAGATACTAACCTGCGAGTTAATAGCATTCGATTTGTACGAATTTAAACGTGATGTATCTGATTTACTCATTTTGTTGACGATGAATAATTATGCAGGAAATATAAAATAATGCAACGATACTAAAAGTTTTGATGAAACAAGAGAAAAGATAATTAGACATATGAAATGTTTGAATCTCTAAAGTGTAAGATTTGCTTTTAAAGCAGATAATTATTTTCAATTTTCTTTAGCACACAATAATATTCAAATAGATCCTGTTACTCAAAATGGCAGACCAGGTAGAGGATACGTTTTACTTCACAAAGATAGCAGACATTTTATAGTTTACAATCCGAAATGTAAGTACACATATTCAGATTATAGACAATTACTTGATATCCATATGCAACATTGTTTACAATTTTCTAGAAATATTAGCGAATGAAAACCTATATGTCTTTATTTTATCCAATGAATTAGGTTTCAGTTGAAAATAACGTAACTTCATACAAAATCTGCACAACACAGGTTATTCTCACCTTTTGACACACTACAATTTTCAATAATTCACACGCTTCGTGTAGATTTCAATGCAGATAAGTAGAAAAATTAAATAAATTTTAAATGAAAATAATGAAACTATAAAATGAAATGATCTGCTAATTCTTTCTATTCGACTGTCTGCTCAGCGATAAAATGCCGTTTGAAAATTTAAAATTTCCCCTACGATTCACTCAGACTAGACGGGAGACTTTTTGTTTTTGTAGACAACGCACATATTCAGCAAAATGGCAAAAAATATGGAACAAAAAGGCGCAAATTTGATCTTCGCGCAATATCGATAGTGGGTTAAAGTGTGTAAACAGCTGTACCGCTGATGTGTAGAGAAACAGTTCACTTTTTTGCAAACCATTTGCTGTTGTTGTAAACGGCCACTTTTCGCAGTATATGTTGGTATGTTGTCTCACTCTAGCCTGTGGTTAATGCTGGGATCGGTATAAAACACGAGTAAATGTCTCCAAAAATGGTGTTGGCTACAATTGAGATCAAAACACGGTTGCATTTTAATTTACCAATCAGTAAACACAGGGTTACAAAAAGCAATAAATTTCGTATATTAGAAAAAAATGTTCTGAAAAAATGCGATATTTTCATTAGCTCAACGCTAAATTAAATTTATTGCCAGATATTATGGTGCTTCGGCGAGGCATTTAAAATATTTGCAGTAACATTTGGTGGCACTTTTAAAGCCTGCACATTTCTTGTATACCCTCAAGAATGCATAGGTCATTCGTTGTTGACCTCTGCAATGTGAATGCGTGAAACGCTCAGTTATGTTGGGCTTAAAACCATTTAACATAATCAATGACGCCTTATCAACATCAAACTAACATGAGCTTAACATAGCATCCACAGTTCATTTGCGCGGAGCGCACAGTGGTCTGTAATTTACTATTCAGCATTGTTAACATTGGCACTCGCTAATTTCTTTGCGCTCTCTATCTCTTTTATCCAACATTAGTATGTGGAGCCCTATACAGTTTTTGCTCCACAAAGCGCCCTTTGCTCTAATTAAAATTAATTTTACAGTGCGAGAGAATGGGTGTATGACCAACAGCCGTTAACTAATACGAGCTGTACGAAGCGGCAGTCGCCAGCAGCAACAGCATCAGCTATGACATTGGTGCAATTTGATTTCATGCGTCAGTTCACACCTAAAAATTGTTTGGGGTGCTCTACTAGAGCAATTTGAATGCAATGCAATTTGCTATTCTGTGAGTTTACGCAATTCGTACATACATACATATTTGCACGAGAGGGTAGAAAAAACGAAGAAAAACATGTTGCAAGTGAAAATTTACGCAAGTGTAGTACATTTTTAAGCACGCGCTGCGCCTTTGTAAAATACTCCTTTGGGCATCTACTTGTGGAACTAAATATAAGTATACTTTCTTTGCTGTATATTCTCGTTTGTTACTTCGTCTGAGCCTCCCCGCCTCGAGAACTATGCAAGCAAACTCATTAAATGTCAACACAAAAATTTAAGTGATACTTTGAAAATTACTTCATTATACGGCACACATACTACAGGAGTCGTTTTCTAGGCGGACAGCCAGTCGTTCCCCCATTGGGCACTTCAAATTTGCCCGTAAACATAATTTCTTTTTAGTCGGCTCTGTGTACACAGGTCGTATTGGTGTTTGAACTGAACTACCCCCTTGTGGTTGCGCTTGGTTTACACATTATTCACACGGTAAACGCCCGAAAGTATGCTCTACAAAGTGTTATGTGTTGGCGTTTGTATACGCTTTGGCTTTGAAGGTCAACGAAGTAGACGAAGGCGACGCTTTATGCAAAATCCAACGCATGCTTTGAGGTGAAAACATTATTAAATGTACTTTGAAGACGTTTTTTTCATATGTAGAGATGGGCTAAGAGTAATAGGTGCAGGTTCAAAGAAGCACCAGTGCAGCACTATTTCTATTTTGACAAATCTTGAATCAGAACAGTTTATTACTGACTAGCCTAGTTTTAGGGTTCACCACCACTGACTGAAAATTTTTCAGAATAAAATGAACTGAAAGAAACCGACTGCTACTAATGATGAACAAATTGTCGTCTTGAATTTTCGAAATAATTTTTGCGGGATTGTGATCATAAAACTGCTTGATTTTCTGAATCATGAGTTTGAGCTGCGATTCAAGAAAATAAACAAGTGACAGGTTATTCTAATTTTTTAAAGCAACATACCCTTTGAAAAGGACCAACTCATCACACTATTAAGGACTATCAATTTTTTCGTAGAGAAACGGATAAATTGAAAATTTACACACTTGTAACTAACTAGTTTTGCACCACTCTCGAAACTGTGGTTACACTGTCTGTAGTATTGCGTGTCTTGGCTGGTTGTTGAGGGTAAATTTTGTTTTTCTTGAATTGCCCAAATGAATTTGTGTATTTAGGTAAATTTTGGCACTGTCTACCACTTTGACACTTTTGACAAAAATGTTGTTTGGTACTTCTGTCTTTAAGGTCGGCTAGTTAAGTGTATATGACAATTTGAGTATATCTACAATACATACATATAGTGCATTATATGGATGTCAAAACCTAGAGGTTTACTTGTATGTATGTCATCTGTCAATAGAAAATAAGAAACTGATGAGAATTATCTGAAAATATTTACCGAAATATTTACGTAGGAAAAATATATAAGTACATACATACATACATACTCGTATATGAGATTAGAGGTATTGATAACTTTTAAATTTCGAGGTGTGGTCGAAGCTATATTTGAAAAATATTTTGAAGCAGTTAAAAAGCTATTTGAAATTACTTCTTTGATATCCTTTAGACCCACGGATCGATCATCGATATCTCAGTGTATTCTCCAACAATAATACTCGATAATTTCTCCAAAAATTCTTTCTCTAGATACTTTTACGCATTTGGATGTACGAAATTTGTATCGATTCTGCATTACGCAAAGTGTTATGATGGAGCCAAACTTTGACCGAACTTTCTCTTATTCGTATGTTTACAGTTTACGTTCTGATTTTATAAGTGAGATCTGGTTATGCTATACGGCGTTAAGAAGACAATATGTCGTAATACAAAAAACTTCCTAAATAGTGCTGTGATTGCTTGACTAAGTATTGTTTGAGTTCGTGTCGAAGATGGACACAAGCTTAGAGAAAATATGCCATATTTTACAGTTTTTCATGCATAAAGTTGAAATCGCAAGCCTGTGAATAGTACAATATAGGTATAGGGTCCTGATACTGTAACAGTTAATTACGCGCAATTTCGGTTACTCCGATTTCATTTTGCTGATTTTGATGTTAAAGATGCGACACGCTTTGAAAGGCCTATCGATAAAATAATGAAAATTGTCGAGTCCGACCAAGGGTGGACTGCCAGGAAGGTTTTGGTTTTGGTTTTGGTTTTGGTGGTTGGGAATGGCAGGGAATCATATAGCTGCTGCTCTCCTTTGGCCAAATTCTTAATTATAGAGAGACGGCGAATTAGTACAAATGAAACTTATGGAATTAGTAGTTGCAGAATCTAGAGACTTTTCTGACTATGTGTTTATTTTTGAAATGAATCTAGTGGTAGAATATTGAGCAAAAACTGTACTGAATGGACCCGGATTTTGATCCGGCCAAGTTTTAACAACTCGACAGTATTTCTCAAAATTATTTGTGCTTAACAATAATAAGAAGCCGCTTCTGTGTTACAGAAATCAGTTTAAAACAACCAAAACACAACTCTGGATTCCACTCCAACTCCAACAATCTAGCCAGCTAGAGCTGCAATAAAAAAGTTGGAGATATTACGTAACGGAGTTTACTCGACAGGTATTTTGCCAGCATTGGTACTGATATTGGCACTTGTAAATGAGAGGAAGAGAGGAATCCAAAGATATTGGACATTTGGATATGAAAAACTACGAGCTACCGAACATTTTAAATAAATCTCTTTACTGAAACTTTACTTTTTATACCCTGAACAGGGACAGCCAAGTCTGTCTGTCTGTATATACGCGAACTAGTTCCTCAGTTTTTGAGATATTGATTAGAAATTTCGCACACACCACTATATTATATAACTGTCATTTAAACTGACAGAACCAAATTAAGAAAAATATATTTTTATACCTTTTATGCTATAAGCTATAATACCTGTGAAGGGTATTATTGCTTGGGTGTACTTATTACTGACTTTAAGCTCTACTTTGCGGCTTTTTTGATATCTCAGTAGACGCCAATTGAATGCGGTCCATTTAACACACACATCCACTTCCATTTAAAACATTATTAATGGAATTCTAAGAGCTTATTACACCTATATCGCTTTTGTTTTAACTCTACAAGTTCGTAAAGGATGTCACCAGAGCAAACCTTATACGCCTAGAAGCTTTCACAACTTATCACCTCATGCTGCTCATTACGCAGTTAATAAGAAAGAGCACAAAGAACCACCTCTCACAGATGACGTAGAACAAATGAGCGACAAAAGTTAGTTAACTTTCAAGATAAAAACAAAAAAAAAACAAAAACTCAAGAGAGCTGCACAGCACAGTAGTTGTGAAAAGGCAATGGACAATTGAAATTATCTGCACTACATGGGCAAAGTAAATGTTCAAAGTCATTACGTTTATACATTTGTCCTTGCCTGCATTATCCATAGCCGCCATTTGCACTTTACGGTCGACACTTGTTGGTAATTGTCGACATAAAGACACACACACGTACAAAAAAAAGCAGCCGGAGAGCAGCGCGGAGACAAACAAATAAGTCGAAATAACAATGTATATATATGTATGTATATACCTATATATCAAAGTGTATAAAAAGGAGTAAATATATATTAATGCATGACGCTATATAATTGAGTGCATTTACATACATACATACATACACCCATTATCTATGCATATAAAGTGCTATATCCAGTTGCCTGTCAGAAAAAATGCTTTCTTAAGCATTTTTTTGAAAAGGCATTTTATTTCATAAACAAATAAAAATAAAGAAATAAAAATAAAGTACATGCACAGATTTTAATGTACTCTAATAATCGGCGATTAATTCTGAAAAATTCTCTCGATCCCGTGTCGATCTCCAGTGGAGCTATGAAAAAAGTTGACTGGTAGTGAGGAAGACTTTTCTGCTTAAAATTATGTCAAATCTAGAAGCCAAAAAAAAAATATATATCACTTTAGATGAATAAAGATAATATTGGAAGAACTACTCAAAATTTTGATTTTTGAGAAAATGGCGGCTTTTCAAATCATAAAGTCATTTTTTGCGAAGTTTAAAAAATCGAAATTATTGTCAAAAATATTTTTTCCTCGATCATTATCTGACAAATACGAGGTGTGTTTAGAAATTAACGGAAATTTAAAAATTTTAAATTTCGACGTTTTGGCGAGTGCACTTGTCACTTTTTTTTTATTATATTGAAACATCTAAAGCGAAAGTGCATAAGATCGTATGGGTACTATTATATTTTAAAAGCGACAATATTTATGTAGACTAATGTCAAAAACTAAAATTCCCGTTATTTTTTCAACACACCTCGTACACTGAGCTAAAAAATTCTTACAAAGAAAACGCTCATATCTCCGAAACTATTTGCCCAAGCAAATTCAAATTTTCGCAAAATGCTCTCAAATATATTTACATTTGTTGCACATGCAAAAGCAAAGTTAAATGTTTTGAAATTCACAAGTGCATATAACCTCTTAAGATAAGCAAAAAGTAGTTTACTTTCCTGTTGGGTGCTGCCCCGCCAAAGAAGTCAGTCGATCTGTTTCTTTTGCTTTCTTACATTTCTCACGCTGTGACGTAAGCGTGTTAAAACCAATTACAGCGCTTTTATCTACATACAAATACATTTCCAACACACACACACATTAATACACACCGGAGACACTAACCCTCTTTCACACCCTTGGCGTTTTGTTCGCGCGCTGCAGGACACCATAAGTGTGGGTAAGTGATAATCGCAAAACACACGAACGCATACACCTACATATACATACCTACGCACCTACATGTACTTATTTGCACACTTTCATCTTTTTAAACCCCACCAACTTCGGTTCAATCCATCGCAGAGCGCCCCACCAACACTTGTAGATTTTTAATGATTTTATCTTTACTTCGAGTATATTGCTGCTGTCGTTCGTACCCCTTACCCCGCTTGTCACTGTTTCGACCCATTCATAAGCGTAAATCGCCTTTTCAGTTGAGTTTACATATAAGTGAACAAGTGTCCATCGCTAACGGTGGAAAATGTTGCGTCCAAGTGCATTTGGCTTGAACGTAAGTATATACCATATATGTATCTATGTATATATGAGTGTGCGTATGTCTGCAATTGCAAATAAATAAGGTCAAGAAGGTGTGCCGTTTGCATGATCTTTATTTGTACTTTTATTTCCGCTGTTTATCCATTGCATTCTCATTGTCCTTTCGTGCGTATTACTTGAACTTTCTTCTTGTAGGATTAAAGTAATTTTGCCAAAGAAGCTTTATAATAAAGAATACAAAATGAAAAGAAAAATGAAAACAAAATACAAATAACAAAAAATAATAAGCATTGAAAGGCGTATGAATAAATTAGCTTTAATAAAGGAAAGTGAACGAATGCAAAACTCATTCGCTTTGCACGAGGATCTAATATCCAAAGAGAGATGCGGAGGAAAGTGAAGGAACATTGACAGATGGACAAGAATTTCTTGAGTATTTTACATCAAAGACATATTACCCGTTAGCGAGCTTTCAAGCAATCCTTGTAAGAGCGCGAAATCTGGCGTTGATAATCCAATACATGTAAACCAAGAACTTTACAAGTAAAGTAGTCTGATATCCTGTTAATAATCTGACCATAATTTTTTTTTGCATGTTCTTGTAGTTCTCCAAAGAATGGCCTATCAGTTTTTTGATCGAACCAAATATTGAAATGACCAAAGTTTTGGGTATTTAAGGACCCCCCGCCAGGCTGATACTCCGCACAGGTCGAATGACAACTTGATTCTGCTTTTTGTTTTTGTATCCCTTACCATAGCAAGACGTCAGATCTCTGTCACAGTTGTGATACTGTTGTACTGTGGTATTAATTACCATTCGGCATCCTACTGGAGCGTTCAGTGGGAGATTTTAAGAAAATTGAAAGTCCCTCAGTTCGTGTGTATACAGGCTGACATCCGCTGATCATTTATGTATATACTTTATATTTTAGTAATGTAGACATAAAGTCCTTTAAGTTACACCTTTTCCCCCCAATATTTGAAAGTGCTCATAACATCCCGCGTTACATTTAAATTCATTGCGAACACCCCAAGACACAAAAATTCACATTTTATTTTCCATTATTTCGTTCGTTTTATTAATTTAAATCTTTAAACCAGCTAACAATGCGTTTATCTTCAATTTAATGCTTTCTGCGAGGGAACAAACATATCTGAACATACATCCGCGAAATCACTTTTACCCCGCTTAAGCTTCTTTCGCCGCTTCCGTCACAACCGCTGGATTTGCGGTGCTGGATGCTTCAGCATTGTCACTATTGTTGGCTGAGCGCACATCCACGACATCGGAGTCATCGCCCTCGGACTGGGGGTAGGGTGGGAAGTGTTGATCTTGTGGATATTGTGGCTGCTCGGGTTGTTGTTGCTCGAGCTCTGGCTGTTCTTGTTCAGGGTATTCGATAGGTGCAGGCTCGGCTGCTAGCTCTTCAGCTGGCTGTTGGTCGACAGCAACTGGGGCGGGTTGTAAAACTTGTTGTTGTTGTGGCAAGTATTGCAAGTATTGTTGTTGGACTGGCACAACGGGCTGGGCGGCAACAACTTGTTGCACAGCTGGTGCAGCAACAGCAGCAACCTTGGCGGCGACAATTGGTTCACGTTGAACGACCGCATTGAAACCGTTCACATCGTCAGCAGTGTAGGTAACGGTACGTTTATAACCATCAGCATCGATAACGCTGTAAGAACCGGCAACATTGCCACCATCACGGCTCTCCACCTGGCTCTTAATGTCACCGGTCAAAGAATCATGTACGCCATAAGAGAAATCGTAACGTGGCGCGGATTCGATTTCGACTTGCTTGACAATGGGTGCAGGTGCGGCGGCAACGACGGTCTTGGTAATAACTGGTGTAGGGGCGGCAATTTGTACAGCTGGAGCGATACTCTTAACCACTGGTGCGGCAGTTAGGTATGACTTGGTGTAGACGGGCGCGTGGTGGTAGACGGCAGCAGCTGGTGCGGCATGTTGGTACATGAACTGGTGGGCGGGGCTAGCATAAGTAGTCACGGCGGAGGGCAGCTGATGGTAGGCGGCATAAGGGTTGTAGGCGTAGGTGGCAACGCCAGCCAAGCTGGAACTGGCCAAAGTCAAGACGGATAAGACGCTCAAGAGCTGTAAGTTAGAGTGAGGTTACATCGTGAAATTTTTGGTTGGTCTAAGTATTGTTTCAGGCGAATGTAGAATGAGTGGATGCAATTATTGATGCTGAAAACTTTGTTGGTTTTCTTTTTGGCTTCATAGTAAAAGTTTATGGAAACTGACAATAATTTTTTCAATGAGTTTTAAATGACTAAATTTTTAACTTAAGAAATCAAACAAATTTCAAAAAATGCAGTTGAACAATAAAAATAAAAAAAAAATATTAAAATATTTCTCAGATATACATAATTAGAAATTTTTCAGTAAAATTTATTAAAAATAGTTTTGAAAAAAATTTTGGCAAATTTTATAAACTCTATATAAAGTATTCACAACTAAATTTAAAAAAAAAATTAAAATAAAAGTTTTTAAGTTAAAAAATGATTTTCTAAAATTTTGTAAAGAAAACTTCGAGCATTTTTTGAAAATAGCTGTAAAATACCCCAACTAAAATCTTCGAGTGCTTCAATAATAAAATATCGCAACTAATTTATAATATTACATACTCGTATAAGACGTTTTGAGAAATAGTGTCGATTTACATAATATTAAAAAATAAGTAAAACGTCAAAAAACTGCAAAATATAAGAAACTCTTATAAATATTTTTGAAAAAATTTCGGCATATTTTTTAAAATCTTTTATGAAGGATTAAAACAAAATTATAAACATACGATAAAACCGTTTTCAGTAAGAAATTGAATTTTAAATATTTTTGAAAAAATCATCGAGCACTTAAATTTTTTCAAAATATTATATTTTAAAAAAGATTATAACAAATTTTTTGAAGAATTAAGAATAAAAATATTTTTTTAGTTAAACATTTTTTTTCTAAAAGTTTTTGAAAAAGAAATCTTCGAGCAATTTTTGAAAATACAAGTAGTTGTAAAATATGACGCATCAACTAGGAAAATTAAGTAATTGTAGAATATTAAAATTTTTGAGTTAAAGATTAAATTTTTTTAATGTTCTCGGAAAAAATTTTACAATTTTTATAAAAAATTTTCAAATTGTTTATTTTATTTTTTGTCAAATAGTTATAAGCGAACTGCAAAACATTTTAAAAATTAACAAAACTATTATAAGTTGTAGCAACATGTTGCAAAAGTATACAAATGCTGTAGAACATTAAAGGTATTGAGTTAAAAAATAAGGATTTTTAAAAAATTTTGAAAATAATAAAAAAAAGTTCTTGCAATATTTTTTTTTATTTTTAAAAACATAGTTACAATTAAAAATGTTGTAAAATATTACACTTTTGGAGTTAAAAAAAAAGTTTTTTGTTTTTAATTTTGAAAAAAATTTTAAACGAATTTCAAATTTTATATAGATTTTAACACAAAGCATTATACTTTGTTTTCACATTAAGGACAAACAATATTTGAAGTCTGTATTTTAAAAAACTTATTCAAAATTAATAAAAAAATCTTTCCAATTTTTTAAAAATTGTTAAAAGCTTGTTAACAGAGCAATTAACATTTTTTTTTAAGGTTAAAAAAACTAAAAATTAACATTATGAAATCTGCGAAGTATTTTGAAAAAATTGACAAAGCATATTTGTTAAGATATTAACTTCAAAGAAAAAAGTTTGTTAATTCTTCCCCAAAATCACAAACTGTATATACTTGTGGCCAAATTGCTCTATTTTTAATCTTATTTATCCTTTCTTCAAAATTAGTTGACCATGGTAAATAAAAGAATTTCAGTCGCGAAAAAAATTCTGAGCGCGCTAATGAATTCCTATTCTTTGTGATAATCAACGCGGCTTTGTGTCGTTTCCGCTTTCAAAATCCTTTCCTCAGCAACTTAAGCTGCCGCTGACAGCCGCGCCTTGCACCAATACATAGAAACAAACAACGCGATTTAATAAGCATTTCACAGGATGTTGATTCTTGGCTGAATTTTTTTATTTATTTATTTTTGTTGTTTTTATTTGTAGCCTTTGCCATAGCCATTTCGACACTTAATTAATTTTTCTATTTTTTTTTTTCATATTTTTTGTTTAGGGTTTGCCTCAACTTTTGTGGCAAATGCGTTAACACTAAATTGCACTTACTTTGCTTGCCATTGCTGCTGAATTTTATTAGAAATTTTGTTAAATAAAACACGACACACAAAAGTAAATTTAACGAGGATACGCAAATGTCTTTATTATGACCAAAGCAACACTGCTTGCACTGTTGCACGGTAAACTAACGACGGTGTTGTGATGCTGTCAACAGGCGGTGACAACTATTTTATATGCTGCGCAGTGGAGGAAGGTAGCAACAAAGGCGAGCAGAGAAGGTAATTTTAGTAAAAACAAAAAAACAAAATCAAAAGTATATATCTATGAAAAAGCAAAGAAGTGTCGAAAAACTGTACCGATTTGAATAAAAGAATCGGCAAAGACGCCGAAACGGCACGCAAGCCAATAAGCAGCAATAGACGAAGCTTAAAAAAATTGAAAATAACAAACTTTGTTTTCATGCCACGGTATGTGTATTGTAAATATATACACATACATATATGTATATATATATCGAAAAAATGTCGAACCGGATGACGAGCGCACGCGAAAAACTGGTTGACATGCGATTGCGAGCACTTGAGTGCGGGTGGGTGCAACAGAAAAAAATACAAGAAATAAAAAAAACAGAAAAAAAATATATTAAAAATATATAAAATAAAAATATTAAAAAACTAAAAAAAAAAATTAAAACAAAAATTAAAAAAATTTCAAATCATGTGTACCAAAAATCACCGAAATCGCACTAAATCAACTAAAAATCCGTAACATTTTCGAAATGCAAAAAATACAAAAATAACTGCAAAAATATCACAGAAATGCAAAAATACAACAACAACCGCGCAAACTTGTTAAATCATGCTGAACGATCACTGGATCTCAAATTTCGGTACGCGGCGCACAATTTGATTACTACAATTACCAGGTGGTATATAGGCATAAACTTTATTTATTTTTAAATTGTTTTTTGTCAATTTTTTTCATTTATTCTTTGTCAATTTTTTCACATTTCAATTGCTTGGCGGCTGCTGTGACAGTTGTGGCGCCAAAACCGGTTTCAAATTGATTTTTAAAGGGCAATAGTGTTTGTTGTCAATTGTCACATTGACACTTAATCCGCTTAGCGGTCAAATGCCAGACGCATGTACTAACACTAACAGCAGACAGGCGCACATACACTCGCATGCAAAATCTCGTACACATACACATACAAACTTGCATTTGCGCAAATGGCAGCAAAACCGCACAAATTGATTGCTATCAGTTAACTCTTTGTTAAAGCCTAATTTAGACCTAAAAATATTTGATAAAAAATTTTGTAAAAACAATATTTAAAAAATAAATTTGAAAAAAAAATTTTTTTTTTTAATTCAAAATAGCAAGCTTAGTGTAATTAAAAGCGCAGTTTGACATTTATTAATTGCTAAAAAGCAATTAGCCGACGCTTAATTGTTGGCGAAATTGCCACCATAAAAAAAGTTTGTCGAAATCACTAAAGGTATGCAACATTCGAAAAAATTGAAGATACAAGAAAAAACAAAACGTTAATTTGCAGCTATAATACCCTGCACAGGTGCATTTTATATAACATAAAAGGGTATAAAAATATTTATATCTAGATTTTAGTCGAACAATTTGTATGGCAGCTATATGCTATAATGGTCCGAACTGAAAAACTTGTTCGGAAATATTAGCGTTGTCTTGGAAAATAAATCATGCCAAATTTTGTGAAGATATCATTTCAAATAAAAAATTTTTTCAAACAAGAACTTGATTTTGAACGTTCAGTTTGTATGACCGCTATATGCTATAGTGATCCGATATCGGCGGTTCCGACAAATGAGCAGCTTCTTGAGGAGAAAAGGACATGTGCAAGATTTCAGTTCGATATCTGGCAAACTGAGGGACTAATTCGCGTATATACAGACTGTGAAACGAGCATAGCTCAATCGACTCAGCTCGTTACGTTGATCATTTATATATGTATGTACATATGTACTTTATAGGATTCCGACATTTTCCTTTGGATGGCAAACTCAGTATACCGTGTTCAGGGTATAAAAGCTTGTCGAAATCACTAAAATTATGCGGCGCGTTTAGAGACATTCGAAAAAATTAAAAAAAAAAAAGTTATGAAGAAGTGTAGACAGATTTTTGAAAGTATTGTAAATTTTTTCCCGAAAAACAGTACTTTTATCACGTAAACGTAGTAATCACTTCAGCGTTGTATTTTTAGTTGGCATGTTGTTGCAGTATTTTAATGTGACCTACAAGTGAATGCAAACACATACAGAGTGTATTGCACACATATGTACATATGTTCATTTGGTGTACGCGTATGACATTTACTTTCTGCACTTGAACTAAAAAATCGGCCAACTTTCGATGATTACAATAAAAATTTGCAATTAGAGCTTGGCGATTAATTTGGTTTGTCAATTGTTGTCAAATTATATTAACGTAAATAGGACAATTGAGAAATTTTATGAGAGAAACCACGTGATAATACAATTATAGGAATTTTAAATGTTTGTAAGTATTTAAAAAAAAAAAATTTAAAATAAAAATTAACTAATTTTTCTCAAAATTTATCATTCTTCATTTTTGGTAAAAATCTTAAACAAAAATGTTGTATATATGTACTTTCCTTGCACAGTTTAAATACCGACAAATTCGACGAACGATCTCGCGTTACTTACATGTTCAAATGTCGTTTCATTTACCGTTTTTTAAAGTTTGTGATTACATTTTTGTGAGTTTGTATTTTAAAGACCGTTATTCGAAACAATTCCTTAGCATATTTGAAACGGAATCGCCTGAATTTTCGAATCCGATTCACCATCGTTGTTCGATGAATAACGCGTCCTTAAACTAGTTTTTCTCTTACAAAAATTTCCAAAAATCCGTCGGAAAGAGCTTAGCAAACTTTAAGCAGGCTAAACATGACAGGATTAGAATGAAGAGTTACTCTGACTGCTTCGAAATCAACCTTCGAAACTTTAAATATTTGATGATTATTCTTTTTGTTCCTGAGATTCTCTTCAAAAATGTGCTTTGGTCCCATTGACCTTCATGAAATATTGACGAATATTGCTGCAGTCTTTTCGATTTACGAATGCCATACCAAACTTAGACATTTTTTCGCAGAAATCTCTTAAAATTCGCAATGGATTTATTACTTCTTATCACTCTTATCTTTGGGGTAATTTTATATAAAAAACAGAACTCATTAGTTAGACTTTTAAGACTGGTAAAAATTCATTTGGAAATCGAAATTGTAACTACTAAGGACTTAAGTTTCATTAATAAATGTTGCATTTTCAAAAAGCTTGCCGAAAACTCAATAGAATAATGTTAGGTTTTCTAGTAAACCAGCGAAGTTTACTTTTGAGCATATTAGCCGCTGGATGCATGGCGAGGGATGATGAATGAATAAAGTAAGTTACGGGGAAATTCGGATGTTAAGCAATAGCGAATGCTTTTAAGCATAATAAGATTAACTCTTAAATTTACCTCTTCATGGGCTTAGGAATATGACGTTGAAACTATCCAAAAATCTATCGAATTGCGTCATAATAAAGAGCCGAAGCCAAAAAACACATAACTCGCTGAAGGCACTGACGGCCAACCCAGCCGAGGCTTATAACAAGCGCATAGAAAATAGTATTAAGCATTGGTATGCTTGTATAGGTGTAAAAGCAGACTATTTTGTAGGCGATAATAAAGATTTGTATTAAAATATGTGAAAATGTTGGTTTTTTCTATCAGTGCGTTTCAAATTTGTTCAGGTGGTATTTATCGGTGGTAGTCAAAATCATCGAGGACAGTTTGATTTATTTTACGTAAAGTGTATAAAGTACGATGAAGTTTAAGTGCCTTAGACATGCTATTGAGTATTCGACTTTTTAGTTAAACTTTCTACTATCAAGACCGTCCACAATTCTTTGACCTTGACATAGTGCAATTTGGGCTCATTTCTTATACTAACCGATATAAAAATTTATATGTCAGATGTTATTTGAAATCATGAAATCCGCACAATCGCAATCAATTATAATTATTTTATTTAATTGTAAAGCCTCAGCATGAGATCGCACTTATCAACTCTGCCTGAAGGCATATACATTTTGGAACATAATTGGTTTTGCATTGTTCATAGCATGATTATTTAATTAAGCTTAACTTCACCATGCAAATGTACAAAATTTGTCCAACAGTATTTTGCATATTCAAGGGCAGTTTGCTAATCAAATACCTTAACTATTATTACTACAATCGCTTATGTAAAGGTTGCTGTCACTAAGATGGAAAGATTAAGAAACCAATGTATATACAACTATGCAAATTAAAAGCCGTAACGCCTTAGACACATACAATAACCGTAAAATCAGTCAGTCAAGACACTACTCAAGAGGATAAGCACATCAGCAAACGTGAGCAACCGGACAATAAAAGGACTCTTACTAATTCAAAGCGCTTTAATGTATTTGTGTGAGTACATACCAGATCAAATGGAGTCAGCCGTATTTATTCAGCATATGCTATGTACATATATATATGGAAGTTTGTACACATAAACTAGTGTTCAACAGAGTGAATATGCCACTGACAATGACATTGATGCCATAATCACAGCAAACAGCTGAAACTATCCGTCATCTGTGCAAAGGCAAGCTGCTAATTGCTGTAGAATTGCGGTTGTCCGTTGCGGTCATTCAACTAATGTTTTATTGCAGTGTTGCCAATTGCACTAAATATTACTCGATGTAATACACAATGCTCATTGTAGATATCTACAGTTCCAATTCACGTATTTTAAAAAGATTTCATTTATATAAATACCATCAAAATTTAAGCTTACTTCATGACTATTTGAATTATCCGACATATGGCAACACTGTTTATATTCGGACAGTGCTCTAGTCAGCTATGAGGTTCTATACTACCAGCATTTTTGATTGTTCTCCTTCTTGTTGCATTGTCTTACAATTAATCACAACTAACTGTGACTAGCAAGTCAGCACAGAATTGCTTTCCCAGCTTCTTGATAGCTTAATAGCAGTTGTGTGCGTGTCTTTAGTAGCGCTAATTAATTTATTACACTAATAATATTCTGCGCCAATATATATTTTAACAAGTACAATTAATTGCTTGAACACTTCTATTCTGGTCAAGACTTTTGAGGCAGTCATTTCAAAAACAAAAACAAAAGATCGTTGAAATAGGCAATAAAGATACTTCTGTTTTTC